TCAGTGGGGATAGAATGATGAGTAAAACAGATATGGCCCCTATCCCTCTGCCCTCACACACATCAGTCAGGCTTAAGGTAGATATAAGTGCATTTTGTTCATACCACTCATGGCTTATCACACTAAGATTTGTAGTTGTCATTCCCAGCTAAACTGTGAAGCTTCCCAAAACAAGCACAGTGTCTTATATACTGTTAAACAAACTTGACTCATGGGGAAGAGCTCAGTTAAATGGGTAAATACCTGGCCTGATTTTGTTGAAATGGTGTACCCATTCCTTAATTTCCTCTTTGGTTTTGCTGTCTGCCTACCCACTATGATCTGTTCATACCTTTGTTCTTAATCCTCATCCCTTACTTGTATGTATGGTATTCTTCGTCCTGTGTAATATACCATTTCTTAAAATTATTTTTCCAACCAGTGCTCATTTTTCCAGCTACTGTATCTTTTATGTCTATGATATGTGTCTCCTTTTTCACTACTGCACCTCTAATTCCAGTGCAGGTGTTTCTAAGAACAAGAAACAATAATATTATTGAAAGATGATATTTGATTTTATGCAGATTATGGGTTCTTGCTGATTTTGTTCCTGCCACCTAGTGGCCAAATCAGGATTACAACATGACTTAGGTGTTTCTTGGCTTTTCCTGTCTGTAGCCAGTGATTAAAAATGTGTTTATCGGGGCACCTGAGTGGCTCAGTCATTAAGCGTCTGCCTTCGGCTCAGGTCATGATCCCAGGGTCAGGGGATCGAACCCCGCATCAGGATCCCTGCTTACCCAGGAGTCAGCTTCTCCCTCTTCCACTCCCCCTGCTTGTATTCTCTCTCTCTCTCTTTCTCTCTCTGCCAAATAAATAAAATCTTTTTTAAAAAATGTGTTTATATTACCTGAGTAATCTCAGTATTGTTCCCCTGTCATGGCTCTTTTAAAGGATCTGCATGTTGGTATATTGGGATTAAATCAGAAGCCATTCCTGTTCTGTAATTTTTGTCCTTAATCATGTATTTTTTGTCCTAAAAACACCATACTGATGCTTACACAAACTAATGCTTAATATAAACCGGTTTCAGATTTTAGTTTGAGAGTTATAGAGGAGTGTGTATTCATTGGCACAGTGGTAGTTCCTTAAGAAGAAATCTTAGTACATATAAAAGATAATATTATTGAAAGTAATGACTGATTAACAAAGATTACTAAATCCCACTAAAGTATAAGTAGTGTTAACAGTATCCTGAGATCTTACTCATTCATTCAAAGGCAGCATCATTTTCTGAAAAGGCATCAGCAGAGCACGTTAATTTATTACAGGAGACAGTAAACCTCAGGCATATACTATTGGGAAATGGGGTTGCTATCATAATCCTTTTTTTTTTTTAAATCAGTTGGGGAGTCAGAGAATCTTCTCTTTCAGTCTTTTCCTTAAGTAACTAGTTTACATTTTTCTTTTCAGTATGTTTTATAATCACAGTTAATGCCTGCTATCCTTTGAAAATAACTACTGAACCACACTGCTTGCTTGCTTATCTTCTTTCTTTCTTTCTTTTTTCCTTTCTTTCTTTCTTTCTTTCTTTCTTTCTTTCTTTCTTCCTATCTTAGAGAAAAGAGTAAGAGAGAGCATGAGAAGGGGAAGGTCAGAGGAAGAAGCAGACACTCAGCTGAGCAGGGAGCCTAATGCAGGACCTGATCCCGGGACTCCAGGATCATGACATGAGCTGAAGGCAGTTGCTTAACCAACTGAGCCACCCGGGCACCCTGTTTTTAATCTTAAAGACTATACATCAGAATATTTTCCGTTTTGATATTCAAAAAAGTATCTGTCTTCTGTAAAATGGCTATTGCAATTTAATTGAAAAACATATGTTGAAAACTTGTTTATCTTGCTAATGACCTTAATTAGTTCAAGCTAATATTTGCTGGAATGTATCCTATAGTGTTCACTTTAAAACTTTTTTTATTCAATTTAGAGGGAATTAATACTAGTGTACTGCTTTGTAGGTAGAGATCTTTTTGTGTTTTCCCAATAGAAAACTTTGACCTTGCCTTTTGTTTCTAGACTCTTCAGATTGAACATTTGTAGGCATTTTAAATTAAGAAGACAGTCTCAACCAATGTCTGAATGTCCATAGCCTTTCTTATGTCTTGCAAGCCCAGTTGGTTTAATCTGTTTTCTGTAGATTTGTAAGTTATTTTTCTGGTTTTGGCAGTGTTTCCAGCCTTGCATCATGGTATTGAGACCAAAACAATGTGGTTTTGTTCTATTTTTTTCTTTACCCTTAAGAACATAATGCTGTAAAGGACACAAAACCTCTGCTCTAAGCCCTGTCCTATGAGACTGAGAAGTCAGTCAATAGAATCTTCTTTTCTTACCTAGTTAGAGGGTAAGATATTAGATGTGAGTGTGTTTTAAAAAATATCATTGTCTCGGGTGCCCGATGGCTCAATGGATTAAGCGTCTGCTGGCTCAGGTCATAATCCCAGGGTGCTGGGATCAAGCCCTATATCAGGCTCCCTGCTCAGCGGAGAGTTTGCTTCTAGCTCTCCCTGTGCCACCCTCCTGCTTGTGCTCTCTTGCTCTCTCTGTCAAATAGAGAAATAAAATCTTTTAAAAATTAAATTAAAAAAACAACATCATTGTTTGATATCCCTCTCTGAATATTAGGCCTGGAAATGTAATCACATTTAACTGTTTTCAAATGTATTAAAGCACTAGAGGGTTCAAAAATCATCTGTAAAGAAGAAACTAGAAACATTTGAAACTTTCATCAGCTTTCTTTTGGAGGCATTAAAGGTTTTGAAAAAAAGAAAACTTGATGTTGAAATCACTATGGTTTTAAAAGGCTGAGTTTTTGATTGTTTAGATAATACCTTTTATCTAGAAAAGTAACCATCTTACAGGGGTCCCAAATATCTAAATATGTTTGCAAAGTTAGAGGATTTTGAACTTGATGCCAACCTAGCCAGCCATTTCCCAGGGGTTTATTATAAAGATTTTATTTATTTATTTGACAGAGAGAGATTACAAGTAGGAAGAGAGGCAGGCAGATAGAGAGAGAGAGAGGAAGGGAAGCAGGCTCCCTGCTGAGCAGAGAGCCCGATGTAGGGCTCGATCCCAGGACCCTGAGATCATGACCTGAGCCGAAGGCAGAGGCTTTAACCCACTGAGCCACCCAGGCGCCCTCCCAGGGGTTTATTATGAAGATTGATGAAAACACTTTTTTCATACTGGTAAAATATTTCCATCTAAATACAGAGGATTATATTACTTCTATTATATGCATTTTTTTAAAATTCCAATTTCTTGGGGTGACTCAGTGGCTCAGTCAGTTGGATGTCCGACTTTTGATTTGGGCTCAGGCTCTCATGGTTGTGGGACTGGCCAGAGTTGGGCTCTCTGCTCAGTGGGGGAGTCTGCTTGAGACTCACTCCCTCGCCCTCTGCCCCTCCCCGCCCATGCATGTGCCTCCATGAGTGCTCTCTCCCAAAATAAAGACAGTCTTTAAAATTCTGATTTCCTTTTTCTTCATTCTTTTAGATATAAAGATCAGTTAGAACATTTTGAAATTGCTTTAAAATTTTGGCTCCATTGAAGCTATAGACAGAATGACATAAGAAAGTCTTGTATGATGCCATTATTCCACTTTTTATCTCTTAAAGATGTCTTTTATGTAGTAGCTTTGTAGCTTTGTTTTCTCCTCAGAGGAACTGACTGACATGGCCAAGAATAAATTCAGTTCTTAGTGACAGAGAATAAATCAAATCAGTTTGTGTCTGTGCTGAAAGTGTCTTATATTTGGTCCACAGTTAATTTTGATTTATTTATAAGTCCCTTTGAATAAATAAAAATGTTTATTCCTAATGGAAAAGGTTCTTTAGATTAAAGGGAAAGGGGACACAGGAAAGTGATTGTAAATCAGAATACTATCTTTTACTTTGTTGAGAACCTTTCGTGAGGCCTGCAAAGTCAAAACTACTTTTATAATAATACAATTTGCCTGTTGCGCTCTCATTCACAAGTCGAGTTTTCCAGAGATTACACAATAAGTAATGATGTCACCACTCTGACAGCTGATAGAACATGTGCTTTATATTCTTGTGTTTTAAAAATTTCTGAGTTTTAATTTATAATATAGTAAATAGCAGTAGACATAACCCACATTGTAAAAGTGCAATCATTTTTAAGAGTTGGAAGGAGTCCTGAGAACAAAACATTTGTGAAGCACTTTTCTTTCTTTTTTTTTTTTTTAATAATTTTATTTTTTATAAATATATATATATATATATTTTTTCCCCCCAGGGGTACAGGTCTGTGAATCTCCACGTTTACAAACTTCACAGCACTGTGAAGCACTTTTCTGTGGCATAAATTTGTAGGCTTGCTCCTTATCATTTCCTGTGTATTGTATGTTTTTTGTCTGTTTAGTGTGTTTTGGGTATTTTTTAGGAACCATAAGCTATTCTCTTTATGCTCTCTCAGGGAATAGAATGTGAGTTTTAGTTGTGGGTCACAATTCAGGAGGTTGGCTCTAAATAGTTCTTGCATAAAGGTAGAAAGCTAGATACAGAGGACAGAAGAACTTTCTTCTAACAGTATGGGCCACAATGACTGTCTTGTGATATGATGTGCTGTCATCACTGGAGGGGCTCAGGCATAGATTAGACAACTATTGAGACTATTTTAAAGCAAATTAATAGTGTTCTGGTAGGTAACTGTACTAGAAGGGATCTAATCATGTAAAGCCCCTTTACAAGACACTTAAAATCCTGCAGTTTTAGGGCTGAAACCACTGAGGCTGCCTGTGAATTCTGACACTAACAAATTGTGTGGAATTCTTGTTAGTTGGCATTGCTCAGTTAAATTTTTTCCAGTTAAGTCTTTTGAAAAATTAAAATACAAAAATGGGCCTTTCAATTTGTTAATTCTATATGTCTCTTTCTCCCATATAAAATGTGGCATATTTAATCATCTTGCTTACCTTTCTTTAATGTGTTTTGTTTCAGTTGGTCGCATTATGTTTCAGCTCTTCTCAGACATATGTCCAAAAACATGCAAAAACTTCCTCTGCCTATGCTCAGGTAAATGAATTATTAAATTATTTCTGATGAGAAGTTGTGGCTTATAGTTTTATCTTGCTTCTCAGAGTAGATATTTTCTGTCAAAAGTGCCCGTAAAATGAATTTTTAGCGCATTAAAAATGCTATTTTCACTGATAAGAAATCAGGGAAGCATTCTTAAAGGATAGAGACGACAAAGAAGTGGTCTCAAAAGTAAAAAAAGAAAGTACTACTGTGTGTAACAAAGTCATCTGTAAACATTGTAGTTCATAAATTCTAAATTTCAAGTGTTTTGAACAAATTCACCATTCCAGATTCACAAGACTTCTAGTATTAGAAGATAGACAAAACATAATATGGCTGTTCTTCATTATATTTAATTGGATTTATTTTTTAAAGTAGAAAAAAATAAAAACATGTATAATGTTATTTTAAAATAGTATTAAATTTTTAAATCCATGCTTGGATACACTTAAATACATATATGCTTTGCACCAATTCCTTGATTGCCCTCTTTTACTGGAGTGATAACTCTTTCTAATCCCTCTTTTCTTCTGTTGGCATGTAGAGTCTCTGCCACACAATTTAACATTTATATGCTGCTTGATATTTATTTTATTTTGTGTGTTATTTCCTTGTTGCCTCATACTTTGTGTCTCTTACAGTGCCAACATGTATGGGAGGGACTTCACAAAGGACTAATTGGATGGTTCTTTTCGTGGAAAGATGTTTGTAGCTAAATTTCACTTTTTCCCCCCCCCAGGAGAGAAAGGCCTTGGAAAAACAACTGGGAAGAAGTTATGTTACAAAGGTTCTACATTCCATCGTGTGGTTAAAAACTTCATGATTCAGGGTGGGGACTTCAGCGAAGGTAGAGCTAAAGTTATGCTTTTAATAACCATCCATCAGTTTCTTAAGCTATTATACTATTATAAGTGTTGTGTCACAGTGTGATGTAAATATTAAGTGGTCACTGAGTAGATGTGTAGAGCAAGAATGTATGAAAAGCAAAATACTAAGCCATTTTATTTTTATGTACTTTTAATAATAATATTATAAACAGTTGGTGAATTCCCTTACAATGAATGCCAAGTACTTTTGGATTGTTTTTATTCTTCCTGAATTTTGCTGGTGTGATTACTTTTTGAAATAAATGGGTTATGGAGATAATAGTGTTTATTATAATAGGAGTGGGCTCTTTTTTGGACTTTTATTTTCAAGATGAGGTTAACTGAAGATTTGTAGAATTTATTATAGCAGTCACAAGGTGTTAGCTTCTTTAGCAAATTGAAAGCATAAAAATAATTTAAATGTATTAATATATTTTTAATTTTCATTATAATTTAATGTAGCTTATTATTTGCAGGTAATGGAAAAGGCGGAGAATCAATTTATGGTGGATATTTTAAAGGTAAGGCTTAATATTTTATGGTCCTTTGTTTCAGTTCTGATATTAAAGCAAATTTGATCATGTACTTTTAATGAGGAGAGGTTTACTTATAGTTCACTTTTTGCATGGAACTAATGCTGCATGAAAATACTTTATTTGCATGAACTTGGGGATAAATTATATTGTAATATGTAACTTGTAATTGACAAGATTAATTAAGGCTAACTTTGTGGTTAAACATGACTTTCAGCATGGAGGTTAGGCAACTATATACATGAAAACTCCTATCTTCCTGCCTAAAACTGTCAACATATTCTTTTGTTTATAGAGAATGTGGTCTTTTGCAAAATGAAAAGGTAAGAGAACAAAGCTCAGTAACACAAACTCCAATTCTGTTCCCTTGCACCCTTCCTAATAAATTTGTAGACAGCCTGGGTTAGGTTGTGGCTGGATTTCTTATATTGCTTGAAGACTTGGAAAATTCTGTATACTGTTTCATACATGCATCTGTATCTTTTTTCTTTTCGCAATGGGTTATTAGTTCTACATCAGGGAAAAAATTCTAGTTGTATTTTTCCCCCCTTAAACCAAACAATTTCTTTTAATAAAAGTTGGCATTTCCTACTTTCTCAAAGGTTTGTATGTTTTCTTTTGTATACTAGAACTATTTGATTGTGTTTTATTCCTACAGTAGTAATATTTGCATTAAATCTAACTATTGCACTTGCCCCAAAAAGCCTTAGAAAAGTCAGTTGCAGAGATTTATAATGGAATCCAATCTTACTAGATTTTAATGCCATGATAGCTTCAGTGTTATAATAGTCTTTTATATTTCTTCTGGGGGAAAATGGATTACTACTCTTTTTCAGAAGCCTGTTCCCAAGGTAATCATTTTTTAAAGTTTTCTATGTTTCTGTTTGTTCTAAAGAAAAATTTGTTTGTATGAATGTTACAAGGAAATTTAAATTAGTTTTGAAGATATTTCTGCTGGAATTAAAATCATCTTTGAGTGATCTTTGTAACAGTTTTTCCTTTGAACCAGTAAGAAGTAGGTTCATTAGCTGGTTCTATCCGCTTATAGCAATTGGAAGCTAATGTTGTAGGCCACTTTAATGTGGTTGTTCCCTGTGGCAGATACTTGTGTATCTTATAATTATATTTTGCCCTTTAAGTTTTTGTTTTTATGGGACTTTCCTCCTTAGATAATTTTTGATCCTATCTATTAGGAGTCTGTATACTTGATTTAATTTACATACAACCTTACAACTTAATTTATGTAACTTTTAATTTTTTGCTCTCATAGTCTAGCTTCAATACAGTTGAATAATAAGTTTACCATATAGAAATTAGGCACATAAGATTATTAAACTTCTCCCATATATAGTGTGTTAAGCAAGATAATTGGAAAGTTGAAGAAAATGAGCTTTACTGTAGAGATTTTTCTAAAATCTCTTTACTGGTTTTCTCTGAAAGTTAATAGTTTACATTACCATTTAGCAAAAGTATGTTACTATTAAAAGTGACTGTTCTAAGGCTGTTTGTATAAAACATTAAATGTATATTCTTTTCCTCAAGGCTTTAAGTAGTATTTTTGATCTTTTTATGATTTTGTATTTGATTAGTTAAAAAAATTTTTTTTCTAAATATTCAGACAAGTATCTATACTGACCAGAAGAGGAATTTCATCCTTTGCTTTCTATTTATTACTGTGAACATTAATTACACTTTGAGAGTGTCTTATAATTGGAGACTGACAAATTTGTGTTTTCTTCAAACAGATGAAAACTTTATTCTCAAACATGACAGAGCGTTCCTTTTGTCAATGGCAAATCGAGGGAAACATACCAATGGTTCCCAGTTTTTCATGTGAGTAGGCATAATTCAGAGATGAGCTTTTCTTAAACAGAGAAGCGCTGTTCATGAGAAAGATGGTATAGTTAAACCAAGTTTAAATGCTAGAATTCTGTCAAATTGGACTTTGTTACTAATTTCTAACACTGCAGGAACTGGTAAGCTCTAACAGCCGCCTCAGCGTTCGGCATATATCCCCAGTTTGAAGGATGGTACTTAAGAGATGTAACTTGAAGATGAACCTTATCTTCAAAGTATGTTGTCATCTTAAGAAAAGAAATTAGCTTTGAATTAACAAGTTTGGAGGGTCAGTTAACCAAAACTAGATTGGAACATTAACTATTGATCAGCATTTAAAAATTGTTCATAGACTAGGACTAGACGTGCCCTTGGCCTGGAGAACACTTGTTTTGAGTAAACCATGGTGTGGTTGCTTTTTCTCTTATTGTTCTTTGAGCTAATTTGAGAGAGGTACCATTATTTTCTGATACTATACAGAGATAAGTAACTTTGCTGTTGCATCAGCATTGTAAAAAAAAACTTAAATCTTTTGTGGTCTCTCTGGATAATTGAATTAACCCAATATTGCTATCATTTTCACCAAAATTTATGAGATTAGCACTCAGGGAACTTCAGAATGCTATATTTGCTTTTTAAAAAAACAAGCACCTTTTCATGTATATACAGGCACAACCAAAACCTTACTTGGCTTACTTTTAGTTACATTTTTTTTTTTTTTTTAAGATTTTATTTATCTATTTGACACAGAGAGAGAGATCACAGGTAGGCACAGAGGCAGGCAGAGAGCAGGGGGAAGCAGGCTTCCTGCTGAGCAGGGATCCTTGATCCCAGGACCCTAAAACCATGACCTGAGCTGAAGGCAGAAGCTTAATAACCCTCTGAGCCACCCAGGTGCCCCTTTTTAGTTACATTCTTATCTAAAGCTACCGTAAAACCAATTTTTATTATAATCCCAGGATTTAAAATAGGAAAGATAATTGGCTAACATGAAGTTTAATGCTTTTGATTGGAAGTAAATCTCCGTAGTTGTACTATATATGTTGGAGAAATATTTTATTCATGGTTTTCCAGAAAAAGTTCTTGTCATCTTTCTGAATGGACGAATATGAATGGCGCTTCCCTGTCGTTAATAGAGTAAATTATTCATGTAAAATAAATCTCACATTTTAAATTTGTCTGCAAAATAGATTTCCAACATGATCTGATAAAGTTCAGATAAGGGGCATTCTGTTCATAAGAATGTCCTAAAAATGGAAAGCTGGTGGAAGATCACAGTGCCTGGAGCTGTGCAGGAAAAAAGGAAGACCAAAAACATTTGTTCCTAGATCATGTTTTGATTCCATAGAGCAGTAGTTATTAATACTTCTCTACTAGAGTATTTTTCTTTCCTTAACCTTCTTAAAGGCCAAAAAAAAAAAAAAAAAAAAAGTAGTGGAAGATGTTTTGAAAACTGTCTTTTATAGTAATTTAATATAAAGCTATTTACTCTTTGAGGTTTCCCATTTCCATTTTTAAGCTTATCTGAACTGTGAACATGATAAACTAATGAAATTCATTGGTCAAGAAGCTACCATCTGAGGGCTCTAAAGTTTCTTTTAGATTTCCTTATTTTTAATATGAGTACATTGAATTTATCAGGTAGCAGCAGCTTCTTTCCATTGTTACATACCAGTTAGCTTGTTTAATCAAACGTTAAGAGTAAAAACCAGTGCAGGTACATACATTAATTAATATCCAGTGTATGATGAAATTCTCTCTTCAGAAAATTTATTTTGTTTCTATGTTATTTAGTACCTGCCTAAGTCTTTTGTATAAATGCTTAGTATCAAACAAAATTACGGCCATTGCTGTTTCTACATAGTTTAATTTTACATTGGACTGCTGTTTCTGGCAAAGAGTGCCAAATGAAAATTTTAGCATCATGAATTAGGATTAAAAGTTTTAAGCTTGTTTTCATAATTAACTGTAGATGGCACTAAAATCACTGTGAACTTGTGTTGAAATAAAATTTTCTACTTTTAGTTTGAAATTTACTTCTAGAAATGAGTTTGTAGTTAAAAACAATCTTTAAAGTAATAGTGTTCTTGTACATACAAAAAAAAAATCCTTTTTTTTTTCTTTTTAATTTTTTTAAAGAGATTTTTGTAGCATGTCCTTTTTTAATGCTAGCTCAGAGTATCGGTTCCCCACGGTTGAAGGATAAAATAAAACTAACAATCACCTTTCTAAACAAAATACTTCCTTGCTTTTATAGTAAGGGAAAATGGAGATGATGATGGCCCATAAAAAGAAAATCTTTGAAAATCTCTGTCTTGCAAGCCCAGATCATTTTGGAGCTGAAGTAGTGAAAAAGTATAATGTACTGTCTCCAAGTTTTGTCTTTCATCCCAGCTAAGCCTTCTAAAAGCTGGGGCTGCAAGGGCCACCCAAGGGTGGTGGTGCACTTGCCTCTCTCACCGCAGCTCTTGCTGGGGCGCCTCAAACATCTCTTCTGCATTCCAGACAGGAAAGGGTAGTGTGAGAATGGGTAGTAAAACACCAAGAACTGCCTTTATATTTCTAGTTTTATAGGCTTAACAAGGACTTTTAATACAACCTTGGCAAAATCATATTTGTAGTTCATATTCTAAATAAACTACTTTGTAATTCCTAAGGAGGAAATTTGATGTCATAGTATATATCAAAATATTCCTCAAAGATTCTTGTGCTTCATTCAGTAACTAATGAAGTAATGTCTTCATTACTGACCCATTTAAAACCTCCCCTTCCTAAGGCATGCATCATTTTTATTAAATGTAATTGTGCATATATTGCTTTCTTTGGTTGAAACAATTTATGTATATGATAAAAATCAGATTTGCTTCTATAAAGCTATTCGTGATTTCTGCAGTAACTGCTTTTATCTGCTATTTTAATCACGATGATTTTGCTTTGGGGGGGCCTACTATTCTTTTTGAAATAGTACTGCTCAAGAAACGTGGAGGAAGTGATAGACGGCACTGTCCCCATATATAACTGAGGAAATAATGGTTTGTTCATGTTGAGGTATTTCTGAAAGAATTCAAAGACCTGGAACCAAAGTAGTAACCAAGTTAACTTGGTATTTAGTTATTTTGTTCCTTTTATTATTTATTTGTTGAAGCCAAACACTAAGAAGAAACCATAATACAAGCTATAGAATTATGAGGTCTTAGAGTGGAAAAGGATTTCAAGATCATCTTGTCCAACCTTTTCCTTATATAAATAATGCTAGGATAAAATGACACACCTGAAAACAAAAGCTATAGAATTATGAGGTCTTAGAGTGGAAAAGGATTTCAAGATCATCTTGTCCAACCTTTTCCTTATATAAATAATGCTAGGATAAAATGACACACCTGAAAACATTTTCTTTTCCTTTGGCTGTTAGTAATAACATTGTGTTAATTCTGTAATTTTCATTGTTTTTCTATACATTCATTGAAAAGATAAAGAAGGTATTGCATGAAGGAGTCATTAAAATGACTAGGTGGTTTATAGCTTTGTATAAATAACTATCACTTGGGTTAGAGCCACTGTTCTGGCTATCAGGAGATCTTGGTTCTAGTTCTATTGGCTATTTACCTTGAGTTAGTTTGTCTTTCCTTTTTGGCTTATGTAGTATCTATCCCATTCTTAAAGATAAACATTTGGATATGAAGATGTGGACATAAGAAGGTGTTTTGTAGGTTGATCCTCAGTTTCTGAATATGTGAAATGCTTTGTGTGCAAACATCATCTTGCCTAAAGGAAAATAGTTGTAATTGCCTAATTTCCAACAGTCTGAAAGTGCTGCAAAGAAGCTTCAGGCTCATTTGCCTAAATTAGGCAGCAGTCTTCATCAGCTGCAAACAGAACATTGACGTGGTGGTTACATTTGTCTTCCTTCGCTTGGTCTGTGCAACCTTATGTACAGCCATGGAGTAGAAAGACCTGCAGAGCTTTGGTGAACAGTCTCTGTTGTTGGCCACTGTCAGTGGTCATGATAATCATAAAAATTTAAGAAAACAAGATAATGCAGAAAAGTCAAACTTTAAGCAAAAAGTGTTAACAGGTATAAATAGGATTATAGGAGGAAAATACAAAGTAGTTCCAGGATATGTTCTAACCAGATTTGGAATGGCTGCTTTCCTGAGTGGGAGAGAAGTGCTGATTGTCTCAGAGCAGAGCAAGGGGAGGTGAAGAGTGGTTTTGGGTTAAGGGGTTTATAAAGCTATGTTGCGATTTGGGGTAGTGAAAGTAAATTTGGGCAGAAATGCTTTTTCCCTCCACATACTCATGAATCTGTATGAGAATAAATGCTAGTAAGTTTCTGTAACCTGGGAGGTTCTGGTTTTTCCTTCTTTTGGCTGGGGGGGGGTAGTATCTATATGTGTACATTGCAAGATTTTTCATCAACAAGATGTTGGTGAAACTTAACCATAAACCAAATTCTCTGAGTTTCAAGTGTCATCTGTAACATCCAGTCTTAAAATCACTTAGTGTTTATGTGACATATGTAGTAGCAACCTGGAAGGAGTTTTGTATTTAGTAGTGTTTGATGTGTATTAGATATTATGTTAACATTAGTGCTGAATTTTTGGTGACTTTTGGAACACACGGGGAACTCTGTAACATGGCTTGGTTAGTTTCCATGGCCCTTACACAAGCTATGTGTCTCTATATCATTTGGTGCCTCTTCCATGATGATGTGTAGTGTCAGGAGTTGAAGGAAAAAATTGCATGTTCAAAGCTACATTAGACAGAAATAGGTTATCTTTACGTTCATACTACTTTACAGCTGGAGTCACTTTTTTTTTTTTTACAACATTCTTTGAAAACACCATATTATTTGAAATGTTGTATTCTTTTTGGCAGTAATTCATGTATCAATCCTTTATAAGAAATTAAAGCTTGTTTTTAAGTATTTCAAGATGCAATAGTCTGAAACCTTTGTAAAGAATTTTATCCACTATATATGACATGGATTTTGGTCTGAGTATAACAGATACACTTAAAGTATAATAAAGTTGGTTAGACTGTGTATTTTTTTTTAATTTTTTTACAGTGGGGAAAATCAGAGATTAGGCAAGTATCGTGGCCAAAATTTGACAGAATACTTCTGTACTTTCATCTCTCTTGCCTTTTTATCCTTTGAGAAGATCCTTAAAATTCTAGTTATGCATTATTATTATTATTCTTTTCGGGGACTTAACAACTACAGAAGTGTTGAACAGAAACTATAGTCCAAACTTTGCTCACTTATTCCTGATAGTGGTCTGCTGTGTGTGATGAAAAGATTTCAAATGTAGAAACATGAAAGATTTTTAACTATTTGAAGTGAATTACTAAAAAAAGAAGAGAAAGTTCCTGAAATGTTGTTTCGAATTCTCTTAACTCAGTCCTTTTCATTGAAATTTTTGCTTTCCACTGGTAGTAACTCCTCCTGGGCGTTCAGATTTTTATATTCATGTATGTACTTGGGATATATTACTCTCTTGTTGAGAAAGATGTTTGTTGACTTAGCTAGTTTGTAGGATTTGCAAAGCGAAATATACTGTTTGGTTCCTCACACTCTAGTGTTAACAATATTAAGGCTCTGAGCAGATTCCCATTTTTACCACAGTGTTTTTCTTAAGCATAGTTCGTCTCTACGTACATATCCTATGTGAAAGAAAATTTAGAGCCCTCCATTTTAAAAAAGCTTTCTTGCTTTGCATAAAACTTGAAAATATTTAATTTCAAAGTTATATTGATATTAAAACATAGATTCAGTCTTGTCTTAAAAGTGTATTACAATTTATTTCTTGCCATTTTTGTGTAAAATTTACAGAAAGAGTGTTACATCGTGCGCTCCAAAGGTAATGTCTCATTACTCTAAGGCTCTCTTTTTCTTTCTTTGCCTTTATCTCTTTAATCCTATTGTTATGTGCATTGAACCATTTTAAGCAAAACTTTCTGTTTGATTTATGGCAGCAGTACATGTAAAACAAGTGTGTTTTATTGTTCGTAGTTAATCCTGGGAAGTATATTTTCATTTCAGTGGCTTGTTGCCACCATGTTTCCACACTTCTTCTGGGGGAGGGCAGGGAAGAGGGTGTATTGTATATAATGGTGTAGATTTCATTTCAGTACAGAACTGTTAATTTCTGTATAAGGCCAAAAGCTTCTTTGGTAATGGTATAATAATGTAGATTGTTTTTTGGAGTAACAGTGACACTTTTCAATTTCTAGGATTTACAAACTTTAAATGAATCCTTATGCATATATTTTTAAAGTACGTTCAGGGGGTGGAGGAAACTGGAAAATCAGTGTCTAAGTGACAGGAGAAAATGGAAATGTGAAAATATTGAAAGCTTTTATGATTTTGAAATGTTTTATGGTTCTTTCTCCTTTAGGCATGTTTTCATAAGCATGTATAAACTTACATATTTACGGGAGTCTCTGGCCTTAAGGTCTGAACCTACTTGAGTGTTGGCCCTGCATGGGTCTTTAACACTGCATAGTTTTGAAAGATCAGTGCAATTAAGATTTGGTGGGATAGGATCTCTTTGTCCGGTTGAGTAGGATTGAATAGCTTGGAGCAGGAATATCATTTCTCCCTGCCCATTTGGCAGTGTCCTCTGTTTGTCCATGTCTGGTGTCAGCCTAGGGCCAGTATGCCTGCTTTACACTGTTATTTCTGCTCCTGGAATGTAGGCTGAGAACCCTGAGGGGCTTCTTTGTTAAGGTACTTTCAGTGTTCTTTTTTTTTTTTTTTTTTTAAGATTATTTATTTATTTATTTAAAAGAGAGATCACAAGTAGGCAGAGAGGGAGGCAGAAGCAGGCTCCCTGCTGAGCAGAGAGCCCCATGGGGGGCTCATTCCCAGGACTCTCAGATCAAGACCCGAGCCGAAGGCAGAGGCTTAACCCTCTGAGCCACCCAGGTGCCCCTACTTTCAGTATTCTTAATATGCAATCCAGACCGATATAAGTGCACATTCATATGTCTGCCTCCTGAATTGCGGATGCGAGTGATGGATTTAATTATCCATACCACTCCAGGCACAGCGGGCTCCCTGAAGTTTGTCCCTGAAATTATTGTTGTTGTCTTCATTTGTTTACCCCACTGTTGCAGTCAAAGAGCCAAGTTTTTTTGTCTTCAGTTGTCATTTGAATTCAAAACAAAACTGGAATCTGTCATAAAGATAGCGATTCCATCCTCAGACTGAGTCTCCAGTGGTACATTCCTACCTCACTGCATTAACTAGAGTGTTTTCATCTCACCATTTGCTCCAGAGTTTTGCCATAAGGTGGTTTTTACAGGACTCCTCGGTTAGCCACTATGGCAAATTGAATTGGGTTCTGTGTGTTTTAGAAAAATCTGTAGGCTTTTCCCCCAGAAATCTGAGAGTTGTGAGAGAAAGGAACAAGGAAGGAGGAGGAATATGCCTAATCAATAAACCACTCCTTGTTTTCACTGCTACGTATTTGAAATCTGCCCCTTAACATTGTAGGATGTTTACCTTTACAGATTTTACCTCTTAGACCTTTCCATACGGTGGAATCAATGTCTAGCATATGTACTAATTTCTTCCTATCATAAGTATGCTTTGGTAAAGTTTTCTATATATGGGAAGTACATTTCCATCTTAAAGTTAGTAGTTTCTGGAAGCTAGTTTAATTAAGCATTAGTTCCTTTCTTCACCTGCTTGCCAGATTTTGTCTTTTTTCTTTTCTTCTGCCTGTTTTTTACTCATTTTTACTATTTTATTGGCTTGAATTACAACTTCTCAGTCTTCTAAGGAGAATTTGAGACTTGTGGTTTTAAAACTCATGATCGCTTTTAAAATTCTGGAACTTCTTAAATTGACGGTTTTTAAAATAAAATTTCTGTACTGCTTTTACACAACTGAATATTTTTAACGTAAGTATAAATGCTACCATTCCTTGTAGAATAATGATTTTAACATTGTTGTGAAGATTAAAATTGTATTTTGTTGAATTACATGTCTTAGAATTGCCTTAAAATGAATATAAAAATTGATATGGGAGCTCCTAGCACAATTGACTGCTTTAAACATGGCCTGATAATCCAGTGTCCTTTCTCAAATTCTTCTATTTCTCTAAACTAAGATTTTTGTGGTATATACTTCTGAGCCTAGTTATCTGCTTTTGAATTTTTTCACTGCAATTCACATAGTGTGAAGATTTGTGAAAATGCTATGGGAAACAACCAGTTTTGGTTCAAAATGTTTTAACCAAATGTATCCTGTAGGCTTCCCAAAAGTGACTATCTGCCAGTTGGTGATTGTAGAAGCAGCAGGTTGGGCATTTTTGGGCCAGAGAAATGCAGTGTCTATAATGTTATCCCTCATTACTTACTTGCTGTTAGAAGTGTTGACAAAGGGAAGGTTTGCTCCTTAGTGCCTTTTCAGGGTCGCTCTGAGTGGCAGAGCTTCATCTTAGGTGGGAGGGGCAGGAAGTTCTGAAAACAGGGACTCCTGCGGCCTACCTCCATCTGCCTGCCTAAAAGATGCAGACTGACTCAGTATGAGAAATAACAAATAGGAGAACTCATTTAAGTGTGGAGTGCAGGTATCGATCACACTTTTCTTTCCTTAGGGCAAACAGTAGTGCTTTTTATTCTTTTTAATTATTTTGATAAATTTTGAGTTTGTTTTGCTTTTGTTGTTTTGGATTCGGGAATAACTTTAATTTTAATGTATTTTTATGCTATCTATTTCCAAGTTGTTTCATACATATGTATAAGAATAGTCTTCATATTGGAGAAATAAATACAACTTTGTAATTTGTTATAATCTTGAGTGATTTTTTTAACCAGTAAAATGGCTAATATTGCTCTTTGAAAGGTTTTTAAGTTTGAATGTTTACCACATTTAACTTTTTCCCTATCTTTTTATCTTTACCTCTTTGTTCTCTACATGTGCTTTAAACCCTTCTGCTCTGTTCACCTGAACACCTGGTTTTTGCCATCTTCTTTGTGTTGATGTTTATTACACAGTACCACAAAACCTGCTCCACACCTGGATGGGTAAGAGTGACATTTCACTACCTTGGGGAGTTGTTTGGGTGGCCAGTGCCATACAGGTTGAATTACTAATAAACCTCAAGGGGGCGCTCTTGATCTCTGGGTTAATCTCAAAGCCAAGCCCCTCCTTAAGGATCCTAGGTTAGTCAGTCTTGAGACCTCATAGCTATCCTGTCACTGAGTGGGGTCTTTATCTGGGCCTATGGATAGACCTCCTAGTCATGATCTTTAGTGACCCTGTAGCAATAGTTCTGAGTATCAAGGGCAGTCTCTTCTCAGACTCTACAGTAAAATAGTTAAAGGATATTGTTTTAGGCAGAAAGCTGAGTCCCAATTTGAGTAATTTTTGTTGTTTGTTCCTTTTATGAAGCACATTTCAAGTTCTACTTACCTTCCAGTTGTTTCATTCATCAAACACTTTATTTTATATTGAGGTGTGTAGACCAGTCATTTATAACAGTTGTGAATACTGCTTATGGCTTAATTGTCAGCAAACCAGTTCTTTCTCGAATTTGTATTATGACAGGGTTCATGTCGTCTTTGGATTAGTTATTTCTGGTTTTGAAGTAATTGAACAGATTGAAAATCTGAAAACAGATGCTGCAAGCAGACCTTATGCAGATGTGCGAGTTATTGATTGTGGGGTGCTTGCCGCAAAATCAACAAAAGATGGTAAGGGTTTTGGGGTAGTGGGGGTAGCTAGGATATCAGTAAAATGTGTTGAAGACTGTAACTTAAACATACCTCTTGGATTTTGGTAATGGAGGAAACCATACAAATTGTATAGCAATAGCCTGATGGTTCTGTATCATACCTTCTACCCAGCCATGCACGAATCTTATCAAATCTCCCTTCTTTTTACTTCACCCTGCTGTCAGCCTTGTTCCAGACCTGGATGATTGCAGTAGCCTCATACCTGCTCGTTTACCTCTGTTCTTTTCTATAATCTTTTCTCAGCAGTAGTAAATTCCTGCTGGTCTCCTTGCTTGTACTCTTGATCTTCTGTAATCTGTCCTTAACAGCAACCAGAGTGATCTTCTCCAAGGGCGCCCTCTCAGTCAGCCAAAGCTAACGGTTTTACTTGGTCTGTAAGGCAGTCTGCTCTCTGCAGTTTCTTTCACCTCTTCCCCCTCATTCATTGTCTTCCCAGCCATGTGGACCTTTATACAGACTGCCAAACACACAGGGACTTTGTGTTGCCTGTCCCCTCTTTCTGCAGCACTCTCCATCCAGATATCTACATGACCCCTTAGCTCATTTCCTTCAGGTCTCTGTTGGAATGTAATTTTCTTTTCTTTCTTTCTTTTTTTTTTTTTTTTAAGATTTTATTTATTTATTTGACAGAGGTCACAAGTAGGCAGAGAGGCAGGCAGAGAGAGGGGGAGAAGCAGGCTCCCTGCTGAGCAGAGAGCCCAATACGGGGCTTGATCCCAGGACCCAAAGATCATGATTTGAGCCAAAGGCAGAGGCTTAACCCACTGAGCCACCCAGCCGGCCCCGAATGTAATTTTCAATTACCCCCTGACTCTACCTATTCCCTTTACCCTGCTTTTTTTTGTGTTTCTGTCCTAGCACTTACCATTTATCATATTATGCAGTTACTTATTTTCTTACCTAATCCAGCTAGAATATAGGCCTCACGAGTGCAAGGGCTTTGTTACTTTACAATCTCAACAGCACATTGTATTATCAACGTGAAGAAAAGTTTATTAAATTTTGTCTTCAGTTTTCTGTTGATAAAGCATGTTTTACTATATTAGGTAGTCACATGTTTTACTCTGAAAGGTAGGCACTGAAATGCAGTACTAATAGTCTTGTTAATATTTCTTAAAAGTTTTTGAGAAAAAAAGGAAGAAACCAACTCATTCAGAAGACTCGGATTCCTCTTCCAATTCCTCTTCCTCTTCAGAATCTTCTTCAGAAAGTGAAATTGAACATGAGAGAAGCAGAAGAAGGAAACATAAGAGGCGGCCAAAAGTTAAACATTCTAAAAAGAGACGAAAGGAAGCAAGCAGTTCAGAAGAACCAAGGACTAAACACATTATGAGCCCAAAAGGGTAAGTGTGAAACACCAAGGGAATCTTAAGCTAAAACACACACACACACCCTGATGGGGAAAACATGTGCAGTTGTGTAAACTTAGCTTTTTAACCTGTTGTTGAAAAGGGGTAATATTTTTTGGACTTTAATTTGAAACTTGACTATTCTAGGGGTAGCACAGACATTCCATATCAAAGATCTATGTGTTTGCAGGTGAAAAAAAAATCCTTGTTCTCTACAAGCTATGCTTTAAAAAGAAAAAAGTTAGGATCGTTTGACAATTTGATAGCAGAATTTTAGTACTGTGTTCATGCTTTATATGTTCTCTTTGTGAAAACTGTACAGACCTTTTGAGTGAGGTATGTAATTATCAAATTTATTTTATTGCTATTAATATTATGTAATATTATTTAATATTATTGTGAAATGCAAACGTAGCACATTTTCATTGGTGACCTGCTTTGTTCTCTCCAAGTCACTCTGAGAGGAGTCATACCAATGAAAAAAGGTCAGTTGATTCAAATGCTAAAAGGGAGAAGCCTGTGGTCCGCCCAGAGGAGATTCCTCCAGTTCCTGAGAACAGATTTTTACTGAGAAGAGACATGCCTCTTGTCACGGTGGAACCTGAACCGTAAGTAGGGTGATTAACCACAGTGTTTTCATTCTGTGAATGATAATTCCATCAGCTCGTTGCAGTTCCACACTCATTTATTGAGCATGACCTATAATCAAAGCACTTTGAATGGTACTGTGGGAGGTGCTAGGTTAATGAATGACATGTATCTGATCTTGCAGAATTCTCATTCTACTAGTAGGGAAAGGGGGTTGGGTGGGCAAGTTGGCCAGGGGAGAAGTTTTTACTGGAGTTCTGGAAAGATTTCATTACTAACTTTTTTTCCCTTCGCTTTTCATTAAAGGTGAGATTAGGTTGTCAGAACAGAGGGTCAGTTGAACTGTTTGGATTCAGTTGAATGATAAAACGTGGTCCAATTTGAATAGTGTTAAATTAATTGCATGGTGTTTGGGGATGCAGTTTAGTATCATAAATATGTGACTCTTGCTGACTTGCAAAGTTGTTAACTTCTCTGCATTGGACAGATAATGTGTAGCTTTGTAGATTTGGTCTACAGATCTACAAATCTACACATTTGGTCTCAAATGTGTAGATTTGGTCTCAAAAAATACTATGTAGTATATTTTGTGTGTTACCTCAAGTTTAGAATTATTAAAAAAAATGTTGTTTGAACAAAAATACCATAATGTGGCATATCATTGGTAAGTTCCCTATGAGTAGTTCTGTTGGAGGCTTAGAAGTGATGCACATGTCGTCGTTTACTGTCAGGTTTCCACATAAGGTAATCATTTAGTTCATTAAACATTTTAAAATCCTAATATTGTCTCATTTTAAAAAGCTGTTATGAAATGAGATGTATCTTTGAATTAAAAGCTTAACATGCTGATGTCTTCATTTCATGTTCTGGCTTGTTAATACATTTTAGTGGGACTCTCCTTTCTCAAAATACAAGACACCATGTTCATTGGTCAAATCTGTTTGGCTTTCAAAAGTCAGGGAACTTGAAAGGTCAGTTTCTCTTTCTGGTGGTGGGTGTTATCCATGGGCCAGATTTGGTCTGTTACCTGTACAGCCTGTGAGTTTAAAAAAAAATGGTTTTTACATGATTGAATGTTTGTAGAAAAAAACAAAAAGTAATATTTTGTGAAGTGTGGAAATTGAACGAAACCCAGATTTCAGTGTGCATAAATAAAGTTTTACTGGAACATCCATTTGTTCCGTGTAAGAAAATAGACAAGGGCTGTTTCTGTGCCACAGCTGCAGACTTGTGGAGCTATAGCGGAGTTTGTAGGTGGCGCCCCATTGCTTTATACTGCTGCTCTGTGCACTAGGCCTCACAGCGACGCCATTACCACTCTCCAGGATTTCAAGTACTACATGTATAACCCCTGTATGTGAAAAGATATTTTTATTTATTTTGATTTGATTTGATTTTTTTTTAAAAGATTTTATTTATTTATTTGACAGAGATCACAAGTAGGCAGAGGAGCAGGCGGAGAAGAGAAGCAGCAGCAGGCTCCCTGCTCAGCAGAGAGCCTGATGTGGGGCTCAATCCCAGATCATGACCTGAGCTGAAGGCAGAGGCTTAACCCACTGAGCCACCCAGGCGCCCCTGAAAAGATATTTTTAAAGATAAAATACATATAGTCTCATTACAGATTAGCATTACTGTATGAACAGCATTATCTCTTTTGATAGGGAGCATTGTGAATCCTACTTAAGTGAAATTTTATTCACCCCCTGCAAAAGAACTCAATTCCTCTCATTGGATCTTTAGTACAAAGAAATGATACTCAGGTGTCATGTTTCAAATTTTACTGATAAAATATCAGTGAAAATTTGTTTTCTTATTATCTAAGTACCTATCTGATAGCCTTAATTTTCTTCTTGGCCTACAAATCCTAAAATACTTACTACTCTCAGATCCTTTTCAGAAAAAGTTGGCTGACCTCTCTTACCTGGTAGTGGTAAACAGGTGATTGCATTTGTGATTGAAAAGTGCTGATAATTTTGTTCGGTCATTACTCTTCTTTGGTCACATAATAATGTTCTTTTGGAAGTTATTTTGTGCAGAATTTTTTTAAATTATAATTGGCTGGTGGTTGTGTCATACAAAGATAGCACAATTGATGCATTTTATTAGGATCTTTGAGATTTTGATCAGTTGTTTGGGAGCTGTAATTAAGTATGCTTCAAGAACTCAGCATATGTAAGGATAAGAAGCAGGGGTCATCAGCCATAGTGAACTTGTCACCTTGCTGATTTACCAGCAGTTAAGCTCGTATCATTTGTAATTTGCTTAGTGGAATTTGGGTTCCACACTTAACTGCAGTTTCTTTGTTCTTGACCTTAGCGGTACTTTAGAATAATTTGCAGGCTTTTGAAAATACCAACTTCTGGGCCATACAGCAAATAAAATTAGAATGTTCTGGGGAGAAGGTAGAGGTTATAGCATTGGATCAGTACCTAAAAGGTTCCCAGGTAAATGTTTATTTTTGCTGAACACATAGAGGTGAGTTCAGTCCTTTTCTTCATGAGGAAAATGGGGTCAACAGTTGCCTACCAAAAGTACCAACTTATCTCACTGTGAGAATTAATTAATGTCATGAAATGACTGAAAAAAACTATATGTATACTTTGTAGTTAAGATTCTTCTGTAGAAGAGTTGTATTTTTTGTTTGTTTGTTTGTTTATCTGGAGCCTGATTCCTAGAGTCTTAGAAAACCCTATTGGAAGGGCTGAAGCAGTGTGGCTGGGTCGGAGCTGGGGTTCCATCCCAGCTGGGCTGTTGCCCCTTCTGGGCTGCCACAATGGAACTCAGCGCCGAATACCTCCGGGAAAAGCTGCAGTGGGACCCAGAGACAGAGCATATTGAAGTCAAAGACACGACTCCCAACCGTTGCGCGTCCAGCTTCCCCTCTGAACGTGTCGGCCAAGTTCAAGGGGAAGTCACTGCTTCAGAGACACCAGCTGGTGAACACATGCCTAGCTGAAGAGCTTCTGCACATTCATGCCTTTGAGCAGAAAACTCTGACCCCAGAGCAGTGGGCCCCCAAGAAGCAGAAATAAGAGACCAAGGTCTACACAGCCATTAAATTATGAATCAGGGCAAAAAAAAAAAAAAAGAAAAAAGAAAAGAAAACCCTGTTGGCTTTAAGAGTCAAGTTGCATTTCTTTATGTGACTTAGGGCAAGATTTGTAACCTCTTAATCTTAAAATTCTCTCTTTCAAATGAAGATGCTAATAGTACCTACCTCACAGTGTTGTTATGAGAATTCAGTGAGTTAATGTCTTCCAGATGCTTGTTAACTAAATGTTAACAATGAAGAGTCTAAAAGGGAAATTAAGAAAGCAGTTCTATTTAAAACAACAGCTAAAAGAATAAAATACTTAGGAATAAATTTAAAGAGGTAAAAGACTTATACAGTGAAAATTACAAAATGTTTAGACCTAAATAAATGGAAAGATGTCACATGTTCATGGTTTGGAAGACTTGATATTGTTAATATGTCAGTACAGCAAGCTTTGGATTCAATGCAATCACTGTCAAATTTCAACAGCCTTTTTGCAGAAATGGAAAAGTCAGTATCAGATCATATGGAATTGTAGGGGGCCCCAAATCGCCAAAAACAATCTTGAAAAAGAAAGACAAAGTTGAGCGCCTGGGTGGCTCAGTTGGTTAAGCAACTGCCTTTAGCTCAGGTCATGATCCCGGAGTCCTGGGATCGAGTCCTGCATTGGGTTTCTGGCTCCATGGGGAATCTGCTTCTCCTCCCTCTGACCTCCCCTCTTATGCTTGCTCTCTCTCTCTCAAATAAATAAACAAAATCTTGGAAAAAGAAAAAAGAAGGACAAAGTTGGAGCACTTATACCTTTTGATGTCAAAACTTAACATAGCTACAGTCATCAAAATAGTATGGTACTGGCATAAAGATAGATATATAGACCAATGGGATAGATTTGAGAGTCCAGAAATAAACGTGTAGCAGTATGTATGGCCAGTTGATTTTAGAAAAGACTGTGAAGTCCATTCAGTTGAGAAAGAAGTCTGTCTGTTCAATAAATGGTGCCGTAACAACTGGATTTCCACATGCAACAGAGTAATGCTGGATCCCTACTTCACATAATATACCAAAATTAAAATGGGTCCATGACCTGAATATAAGAACTAAAACTATAAAACTCTTAGATAGCATAGAAGTAAATTTTTATGACCTTGGGTTTGGCAATGAATTCTTATATTTGACACCAAAAGCATGGACAACAATAATAAAAAGACAACTCAGTTTAAAAATAGGCACAGCATTTGAATAGATGTTTCAAACAAATGGCCAGTAAACACATGAAAAGGTGCTTAACATCATTAGTCATTAGGGAAATACAAATCAAACCCACAGTGAGATAATACTCACCTGGCAGGATGGCTATAACTTTTGGGTTTTAAAACAAAACCCCCAAAAAACTAGTGTCAACAAGGATATGGAGAAATTGGAATCCTTATACATTGGTGGCAGGAGTCTAAAATTATTCAGACGTTGTGGAAAATAGTTTGGTTGTTCCTCAAAAAGTTAAACACAGACTTAACCATGTAACCAAGCAATTCCATGGCTAGGTATGTATTCAAAAGAATTGAAAATAGAAAATCAAACAGATACTTATATGTCAGTGCTCATTGCAGTATATTCACAGTAGCAAAAAGAAAGTGATCCCAGTCACCAGCAGATGGTTGGATAAACAAAATGTGTTGTGTATATACAATGGAATGTTATTTGGCCATAAATGAGAGATTACCAGAGGCTGAGGGAGTTTGGGGGGATGGCGAGGTATTCTTAATGGGGGGGGTTGGGTTTGGGTTAGTGAAAAAGTTTAAGAAAGATAGTAGTATGGTTGCACAACATCAGTGTAATTAATTAATACACTGAACTATACACTTAAATTAGCTAAAATGGCCAGTATTATGTTATACATGTTTGACTCAATTACATTTAAAATGCTTACTAACATAGTGTCTGCCACGTAGTAAGTACTCAGTAAGAGCTATCCATCATGCTAGTAACAGGGAAAAACTTGAGGTATGAAGACTTCTCACTTGTGGGGAACGGTAGCTGCCACCAAGTCTATAGTCTTAGAATTACCGTATGGCAGCAGATTCAGAGCCCTGAAGGAGGGGCAGCTTATTGTAGAGTTGGGGGAGACAAATGAATTATTAAAAACATAAAAACAAGATGGGATTGGGAGGGAGACAAAAAACAAACTGAGGGTTGATGGGAGGAGGCGGGTTGGGAGGGGGGTGGGGTTATGGACACTGGGGAGGGTATGTGCTATGGTGAGTGCTGTGAAGTGTGTAAACCTGGCGATGCACAGACCTGTACCCCTAGGGATAAAAATATATGTTTATAAAAAATAAAATAATAATAAAGTTTTTAAAACAATTACGTATCAGAGTCAGAAATATCTTAGGATTCCATTAGAACATCACTTAGAGACTGATAAAAAGGGATTTTGTTTAAAAGTAGTACTATGCTTGGGCGCCTGGGTGGCTCAGTGGGTTAAGCCACTGCCTTCGGCTCAGGTCATGATCTCAGAGTCCTGGGATCGAGTCCCGCATCGGGCTCTCTGCTCAGCAGGGAGCCTGCTTCCCTTCCTCTCTCTCTGCCTGCCTCTCTGCCTACTTGTGATCTCTGTCTGTCAAATAAACAAATAAAATCTTAAAAAAAAAAAGTAGTACTATGCTTAAAAAGATGCACAGTTCGTACCTACATTTCTACCCAGTTGGGTTACTTCTTTTTTTTTTTTTTTTTTTTTTTAAGGTTTGGCATTTAAAGAGTGCCTAGAAAATCAGGTTACTTAGAGTGCCTATTCTACAGAAGTGTTGGATCTTAATGAAATGACTATATTATAGGAGCATAAATTCTGCATTTAAATATTGAGAAAACTGCTTAGCATTTGCTTAGTTTTACTTTTCAATCTTCTTTTCCAGGAAGATTCCTGATGTTACACCCATTATTAGTGATCAGAAACCATCTGTATCAAAATCTGGACGGAAGATTAAAGGAAGGGGCACAATTGTATGTGTGTTAAGACTTTTCTTTTTTTCAAATTAGTATCTAAGTAAGCAGTATTGGCAGAATCCTAGCTTTAATTTTAGATATAGTCCAAGATCTGTTGAAGGAGCTAGTTGTATTCTCCATAGGTATATGAGAGTATTGCTATTAGATTAAAGTTTATTGTGCATTTTAAGTATGAAATGACATGTGAAATAGTATGTTGAGAAATCTTAGTATGTTGAATAGTCTAGGCTAATGAATGTAACCCTTAGGACTTCAAAGGAAAAAAATCCCATTTCTTTCTCTTTTTTTTGCACCCCCCCTTTTTTTAAGATTTTATTTATTCATTTGAGAGAGAGAGCACAATCAGGGAGAGGGGCAGAGGGAGAAGGAGAAACAGACTCCGGCTGAGCTGGGAGCCTGACATGGAGCTTGATCCCAGGACCTAGAGATCATGACCTGAGCCAGAGGCAGACGCTCAACCATCTGAGCCACCCAGGCACCCCAATCCCATGTCTTTTAGTGTCTTATGTTTGATATAACTTCATATTGTCCTTTTGTACTTTAATCATTATTGCTTTTGAATGGCATCTGGGATTGGGTATTATACCTAACTCTCCCCTGTAGCAGACTATAATTGAGCAGTATTTTAAAAACAGTTATTCCTGTCTTTGTTTTTGAAGCGCTATCACACTCCTCCAAGGTCAAGATCATGTTCTGAATCAGACGATGATGACAGCAGTGAAACTCCTCCTCACTGGAAAGAAGAAATGCAGAGATTAAGAGCATACAGACCACCTAGTGGAGAAAAATGGAGTAAAGGAGATAAGTAAGAGCTTTGAGTATGAGCACAATCCTGTGTCTGCTATATTTTAAGTGTTAAGAGGCCAGAGACTGACTTCTGGATTTTTCATTAAAAGTTCAACTGTGACCAAAGAGAATTCCCATTTGGGAATACTTGGCAGGAAGAGAGCTATTAAGTAAGAGGGCTCATTGGCTTCAGGGTGCTTTTAAATCAAAATTTGCTCTTCCCTCACAAAACTATAAAACCACTGAATCTCTCAAAGATAATCTTGTACAATTTTAGAAATAATCAGGGCTTAAAAATCATATAGCAGATTGTTTTCCTAGCCAGGTCTCTTAGACACTGATGAATGAATTGGCAGGTAGGAAAATTGTACCTAGCATGTGCATTAACTTCTGACCCCACAGACTGTTGGTTCTTCAGAAGTGTACCCTTCTCTTAACCCTTAGTAACGCCCCTCAGCAGAATATCTGTTGTAGAAATGGGGCTGGCTCCAGAATAGTTAGTGAAAAATACACCAGTGGGACCCTCTGTAATTGTTCCTGCTACTAGCCTTCTCTTCTCTGTGGGTGTCCAGGGGAATGGTTAGATGTCGGAAGAGGGAATGTGTCTGCTCTGTGAGAGTGGTTTAGACACAGTGGTATAGAGAACTCTTAATTTTGAGCCCTGACATTAACCCATTACCACTAAGATTGTAAAGCCTGCATCTATTTTCATGAACTATTCCCTCAATTTCTATAGGAAGTAATTTAACTAAAACCTTAAGAGAAAGTCTTGATTACCTCTGTGAAGCTGAAATAAAATAATAGCCATGCTAGCTTCTTAAGAGGCTTCCTCTTTAGAATTCAGTCAGCTGTCCTGTATCTGCAGACACTCAACAAATTGTTTGGGAACTTGATTTGACCCTCCCTCAGAAATTGTTCCAGGAGGCAGAGATGTCCAGATGTCATGAACATTGTAGCCAAGGAACTCAGTATGTCAGTAGTGCTCTCGTGATGAATTGGTTCGGTTTGGTTCGAAACCGTTTTTCTGTCAAATTTGAAGTCTTTTGCTTAATCAAAAAAATCCTTTTATAAGTGAATCTGTCAGTAGTTGTCAGTATGTATCTCTGAAATTAAGAGGTTCAGATGAGGCCTATCACCCTTTGATATGTCCTTCTACATGTGCTTAAAGTGTTGATGGAGTCAGTACTTTGTTCTTAACTAGGCTTTTGTCAAGCATTTGTATTGACAACAAATGTGTTTTAAACTTAAAGCATAGAAAACATGCTTAAAATAATTGCATGCATATTGTATCCTTTTCCATAGATTAAGTGACCCCTGTTCAAGCCGATGGGATGAGAGAAGCTTGTCCCAGAGATCCAGATCATGGTCCTATAATGGATATTATTCAGACCTTAGTACAGCAAGACACTCTGACAGTCACCATAAAAAACGCAGGAAAGAGAAAAAGGTTAAACATAAAAAGAAAGCTAAAAAGCAGAAACATTGCAGAAGACACAAGCAGACTAAGAAGAGAAGGATTATTGTACCGTCAGACATAGAATCCTCAAAGTCTTCCACCCGACGAATGAAATCCTCTTGTGATAGAGAAAGGAGATCTCGTTCTTCCTCGTTATCATCTCATCACTCATCAAAAAGGGACTGGTCTAAATCTGATAAAGATGACCAGAGCTCTTCAACCCATTCCAGCAGAGACTCCTACAGATCTAAATCTCACTCACAGTCTTATTCTAGAGGAAGCTCAAGATCAAGGACTCCATCAAAATCCTCATCGCATTCTCGAAGTAGATCAAAGTCCAGATCTACTTCCAAGTCAGGGCACCAAAGGACAGCATCAAAATCACCAAGACGAACAACCTCTCAGATAAGTGAAAATAAACCAGTTAAAACGGAACCTTTACGAGCAACAGTGCCACAAAATGAAAACGTTGTAGTACAACCAGTGGTGGCGGAAAATATTCCTGTAATACCATTGAGTGATAGTCCCCCTCCTTCAAGGTGGAAGCCTGGACAGAAGCCCTGGAAGCCCTCTTATGAGCGAATTCAGGAAATGAAAGCTAAAACAACCCATTTGCTGCCCCTCCAGAGCACTTACAGTTTAGCAAATATCAAAGAGACTGGAAGTTCATCATCCTACCATAAAAGAGAAAAAAATTCAGAAAGTGATCGGAGTGCTTATTCAAAATACAGTGATAGAAGTTCGGAAAGCTCACCAAGGTCAAGGAGCAGATCTTCTAGGAGTAGATCTTATTCCAGATCATACACAAGGTCACGAAGTCTAGCTAGTTCACGTTCAAGATCTAGGTCTGCCTCATCTAGATCTCATTCACGAAATAAATACAGTGATCGTTCACAGTGTAGTAGATCTTCGTCATACTCTTCTGTTAGCAGTGATGATGGAAGACGAGCCAAGAGAAAATTCAGATCCAGTGGGAAAAAAAAGAACACTTCAAATAAGAGGCACAGCAGCAGCTCTGAGAAGAGACTTCGCAATAAATATGTGAAAAGCAGGGACAAGTGTTTGAGTCAGAGAAAGTACAGCGAAAGCCGGTCGTCTTTAGATTATTCTTCAGACAGTGAACGGTCAAGTGTTCAGGTTACACAGTCAGCCCAGGAAAAAGAGAGGCGGGTCCAAATGGAAATGCATAGTAAGCAAGAGAAAAACAGAGATAAAGAGAAATCCAAGCCTGAACAGGAATGCCCTCGTTCAAAGAAAAGGGCCTCGAAGGACAATCTTTCTGATCACCTGAGAAATGGCAGTAAGCCCAAAAGGAAGAATTATGCTGGGAGTAAATGGGACTCTGAGTCAAACTCTGAACGAGATGTAACTAAAAACAGTCAGAGTATTTCCCGGCCATCTTCTGATAAGGAGGAAGGTGAAGCGACATCAGATTCTGAGTCAGAGTTTGGTGAAATTCACAGCAAAGCCAAACCCCTGACGAAATCTTCAGCAGGTACTTCGCTGCCTGATGGTAATGGTGCTTGGAAGTCAAGTAAGCAGCAGTCTTCAACCTCTGATTCTGATGGGTCCTATTCCAATTCAGAAAACACTAGAAGAAAGGCACGGAAGCATAAACACGGGTCAAAAGAAAATCTTAAAAGGGAACAGACTAAAAAAGCAAAGGAGAAATTAAAAGGGAAAAAAGACAAAAAGCACAAGGCTCCAAAACGAAAACAGGCGTTTCACTGGCAGCCTCCACTCGAATTTGGTGAGGAGGAGGAGGAGGAGATGAGTGAAAAACAAGTTACTCAGGAGCCAAAAGAGAAAAAACAAGTTTCTGAAAATAGTGAAACCATGAAAGAAAATACTCCACACCCTGAGAAGTCCTGCGAAGACGGCAGCCTCTCAGGTAAATGTAATCCAGTCTTGACTTCGTCAGATACCGATCAGCCTCCTAAAGAGGATGGTAAACCCGGCGCTTCTCCTACGGCTTTCAGTCCTGAGGAGCTTGCTGCTTCTCCCTCCAGCATTCAGCATGTTGCAGAAGATGTCCCGGGCGGACTGGAGGATATCCTGCAGACAGATGACAACATGGACATCTGCACTCCTGACAGGAGCTCTCCGGCCAAGGAGGCATCCCCTCTGGGACATTCAAGGCTGGCTGCCCCAGACGTAAACATTGTTCTAAAACAGGATGTGCACACGGAGCCTCCTGAGACAGAGGAGGTAAAACAGGAAAGCAGCACGTCGGAAAGCAAAACGATGGGGGACGTGGGGAAACAGGACAGCAGCCTTGCTAGCCTGGCCTGTGCTGTCGAAAGCACTGTGAAGAGAGAGGGGGCTGAGAAGAGCCAGCTCAGTGTCCTGGATAACAAGTGGAAGCCCCTGCAAGGGGTGGGGAACCTGCCGGCACCGGTGACCCCCACATCCAGCGCCGTGGAGGTGAAGGCGCTGACTGCGGCCCCCGAGATGAAGCCGCAAGGTTTGAGGATAGAAATTAAAAGCAAAAATAAAGTTCGGCCTGGGTCTCTCTTTGATGAGGTAAGAAAGACGGCACGCTTAAACCGGAGGCCAAGGAATCAGGAGAGTTCAAGTGAGGAGCAGACACCTAGTCGGGATGGGGATAGCCAGTCCAGGAGTCCGAGCAGATCTCGAAGTAAATCGGAAACCAAATCAAGACACAGAACAAGGTCTGTCTCTTACAGTCACTCAAGAAGTCGATCGCGAAGTTCCACGTCATCCTATCGGTGAGCAATGTAGTCCCCTCCCCCCAAGAGTCTGTTACTGTTTAACTTGGAAGAACATCAGAATTAGAGACAAGATCACTATTTCCAAATATCTGGAAGGGAGTAAGGGGAAGTCTTGTGCTGTGTGACTGAGAGAGCCAATTGAGGACATAGGAAGTGGGGGTTTTAGGTGAAGAAATTTGGGTTCAGTGTCAAAAACTATTGCTTGTTAATTAAAGCTCTCTGGCAATACACATGAATTTCCATGATAGGTGGCAAGTCTCTCTAATGGTGTGACACTGCTTTCCCCCCTTTCGGTAATGCCTTAGAAGGAAATCCTGAATTTACAGAATTAATGTAGGATTGAGAGATCATTAATATAACCCTCCATTGTACACAAATGGAAGCTGGGGGCCACAGAGGCCAAGTTAACCTGCCCAAGACCTGCATCTGTTTAATCTTTATTCAGGGGTTAGCGGGGAGGAGCATGGTATAAACCATCATCTTTATATTGATTTATTTTGGTTCAAAGTTGGGTCTAACTTTTGTCATCAGCATAGACTGGATTGTGCAGAGAATGAGAATTTTTACAAACTAAAAAAAAATGAGTGATGTGATATGTTAATAAGTGATCTTTTTTTTCCTTGTGAATATTTCATGGTTTTACCTATCTCTTAATTGCTCATATCCCTTAGTATACTGTGCTTGCTTTTCATCACTTGAGCCTAAAGTACAGTTAAGAATCTTTGAAATTTCCCCTTCCTATTCATCTTCCCTTTCTCACCCAAATTTCTTTAAAAATAGGAACCAACACTTGCCATCTGTAGTAACTGTCTCCCATTTACTCTTTAGCTGCTTGTAGTCTGTCTGCTGCACCTCCCCTCCCCTGCCTCTTCCTAAAAGGGCAGGTACCTCATATGAGTGCCAGGGCATGTTTTCAGTCCTTTTGGTCCTTCTGGAATCTGCTCCTAGTTCTCCCCGTCCCTCTCAGACCATTCTGTGCTTCTGTTGCGGGCTCTTCTCCGTCCTTCTACCCTGACTCCCAGCCGGCCCAGAGAACTGGGGAATCCTCGCCTGTTCTCTCTAGGTTCATATTCCTAGATGCAGGCACTATTGAGCGACTCTAGCCCCCCGTCTGCTTAACATCTGCCTTCCGTTCGTGCTTTGACAGTTCTGAACTGCTGGCCACTCTCATTTAGATTCCTGCTGCTGCCTTTGGGGTAGGTGGCATTTTGCTTGATAAATGAAGACAGGGTTAGAAAGCCTGAGGAGTTTGCTTTAAGTTATGCCATGAATGGGTAGTAGACCAGCAGCTAACCTTGCCTCCCCTACTAGGCTATGAATTCACTTCAGTCTGGGACCATTTTCTACTCATCTTTCGTTACCTCACAGAATCTGCTCTGTAATTATCGAGTAGACTCTGAGAACATAATGTGTTCATTCTCTAATAAACTGGAAGTAGATCATGTCTTCTAAAACATAAGTACATAGTGAATAAAATAAAACCTATGAAGACGTTTCATAAGTAGCCTAGACATAGGGATATGGTTCTGTCCTAAACAACAGGTGGAAAGTTGGAGGAGAAGGGTGGGGAGCCAAGGGAATGCAGAAGGGCAGAATTGTACTTTAACTTAAGTTCCTTGTTTTATTAAATATTAAATAGGTTGAAAAAAATTAAATGATTAGGTATAAATAATTTAAAATGTCTAGATTTTAAAAAATAGAGCTTTGACATCCTGATTATGTCCCTACCCAATGCCACTCTACTTTCTCTTCTCTCCTAGAATTAAGCAGTATTGTAAATTTTTGTTGTAGTTTTGTTTAGTTTTGCCACAAATATTTCTATTTGTATAGTGTTTTTGCATGTCTTCCAACAGAATCTTTACAGATATACATACCTACATATGTGTTCTAGCTATGCATTTTTCACTGAACATTATGTTCCAAGAGATGTCTCTGTTGATGTATGTAGCTGTACTTCATTCATTTTGCTATTTGAGAATATTTTACTGCATATCTGTGCTTCTCCCCTCCCCCATTCTATATTTAATGGAGCTTTGGATTATTTCTTCTTCTGGTCTTAACAAATAGGACTCCAATGAATATACCTTTACGAGCCTTTTCTGGTTTATTTGATTCTCTTTGACTTAAACCCTCATTAGCTGTCACTTTCAAACCCTCTGAGAAGAGTTTGTGAATGACCTTTCCTTTTGTTGTGTTCTCCCCTTCCAGTCCTACTAGGATTCATTTGAACAGCATGGTGAGTTAATATAATTCTATTTTTTCACTTTTAACTGTAGATCAAGAAGCTATTCCAGAAGTCGCAGCAGAGGATGGTACAGCAGAGGCCGCACAAGAAGCCGGAGCAGTTCCTACCGCAGTTACAAAAGTCACAGGTGAGTGTGGGAACCCCACCCTACCGTGGTCTGCATCCTGTCTGCTTTTCAAGGCCTGCACTGGCCAAGTGGGGGAGCTGTTGAGAAGGATCCTGTCATTGCTAAATACCAGACAGGCCTATTGTCTCGTCTAGTTGTTTCTTTCTAGGAACTGTCAGAGTCTCACTGGCTGTCCTCAGGATGTGATCTTATCAGAGTGAGGAAGGAGAAGCAGCAGAAATCTTTTTTAAAAAGGCCCTGCCCATTTTCTCCCCCCACCCTACTCCAGTATATCATCCTTGACCTCCGTTCACATCTGTAGTCACCTCTTAGCTTGGGTTAGGGATTGGGATAGGAGGACTGATTTGTTAATAGGGGGCCACAGAACCTGTGCAGACTTCCCCTGCCCGTCCAGTTAGAGCCTCCCCAGTGACTTTGGTTATGTGCACCTCATAGAAGAATCAAAGTTAATCAGAATGAAATCCAACATGCTTTTAAAAAATCCAGTATACTTTTGATAAGTGAAATAAATACAGCTACTGGATTTCATTGTTTTTTTCCTTGATGGCAAATAAGTGTCTCGATTTTTGATATAACGTGTCCTGACTCACAAAATGATGGTCCCTCATGTGATTCCTATCAGGACATCCAGCAGGAGCAGATCCAGGAGCAGCTCGTATGACCCCCACAGTCGGTCCAGGTACAGATGGGGTGGGGAACCACCTATGGGGGCAGAAGTGAAAAGCTGAATTTCATAAAACCTGTCATTCCCTTTTAAAAAGTGTTGTAGTCTGTTGAAAAATTGAAACACAAGTATTTGTCTCATGAAATCATCTCTATCTACATGAGGCTTTTTTTGATGGCTGTTGGCCCATTGTACTCTAGTGTCAAAGTGACAATCAATGTCCAGTTGTAATGGCAGGTATTGATTGAATATAATGGCCTAAGAAGATCCACCAGATTCAATCAGACTAAATCAGTGTGTTAACTTTATGATATTTTTCAATGCAGAAAAGAAATGAACATTTTTCTGTTGCATGTGGTAAGCCTCACTGGGGCCCTTGTTAAATGTCTCCAGTACTTGCAGATGTGCAAGTGCATGTGCAGATGTGCATGTGCAGATGTGCCCATGTTGTCAGAGAACACTGAGGAGATCATAAAAATAAATGGAAGCCTGTGAGTATTTGAATGCGGAACTTAAGTGTGTGTTGTTGCTGTTGAAGCAGGTCCTACACTTACGATAGCTACTATAGCAGGAGTCGGAGTCGGAGCCGGAGCCAGAGGAGTGACAGTTACCACCGAGGCAGAAGTTACAACAGGCGATCCAGGTGGGTCTTCCTCCTTCAGGGCGCTGCACGGTACTGTGGGTATTTGGTGTGGGAGGTGGCGAACAGCTCGTAGAAGAGAGCATAATCGTCTGAGGTCAGAAATCTTTCTTTCTCTTAAATTTTAGCAACCCACAGGAAGTGGCTTTTGTATTAAGGGTTGCGGGTCAAGTTTGTTGGTTGTTGTTAATATTTGAATCTAAAATGGATTTTGTAATATTTATATTCCCTTGGACACATAAATAGAGCTTTGACATCCTGATTATGTAAATGTTTTTGGAGGGAGTAAAGAGAGAAGGCTGCATAGACCGTGTCCCACTCCCTTAAATGGGGCCAGTTGCTAAAAAGAGCTAAACCAATTTATTAGTTTTTTAAACTTAAAAAAAAAGTATACTAAAATGTCATCATTGGCTTCAACAGCAGGGTTGAGGCGTATAGCATCAGTTTTAGTAAAAATATATTTATATAAATTACAGATGTTTATAGATACTACATTTTATAGAACTGTTTGGGCTGGTACTGCCATACTCTTTATGGTGACTTTTTGTAATGTCCCTTTCCTGGTCACTTTTGGTCTTACATTTCCCCCATCCGTTGCAACTGTAGTCTGTGATCCTTGTCTAATGTCAGTGCGATGTAGACCCCTCCCATTTTGAAACTCTTGAAGGGCTCCCTGCTGCCCAGAGGGGCAGGTTCAGGCTCTTCAGCATCACATTAAGGCCTGTCTACCTTCCAGCTCCAGCGGGGGATTTTCTGTCTTTCCTCCTTTAATGTGCTGGAACCTCTCCTTCTGCCTAGAGATACGCACGCCTCTTGAGATGGCCAGCTTCCCACCTACCTACCCTGTAGGTCTAAGCTGCAACCCACTGCCCCAGGGGGCCATCCTGACTGATAACCCTGAGTTATGTCACTCCCGCCTCCCCACAGTGTGGCCTGTTTGTCTTGTCCTCTATTCTGTGCGGTCCTTGAGCCCCAGGAAACTGTACTGTGTTTGGTCTACTGTATATGTCTCTAGCATCTAGTAAAGTGACCTCCTCTAGTATTTTTCAAAATAACTGGTGACCGTTGCCAGGTTCTCCAGATGCACTGTCCCAGTGGTCCTGTCCATGCCTGCCCCACCTTCACCCTCATTGGGGTCCTCATTTTGGTTTCCATATTTTTAATGAGTCTCTTCTTGTACCTTTTTTTATCCCTCGCTTCCTCTAATTAAATATCAATACTCATTTTGGGTAACATGGAAAATTATTCTCAATTGCACGAGTGGATTTTAAGTAATTTCCCAAGATGCGATGTTTCATCTTAACCTTGGTATTACTGCCATCTCTCATTTAAAACATCTTTGAAAAGTCTGCACTGTTGTTGCTGACAGGACCCCACTCATCCACCCACTGTGCTTTGCCCCATCAGTATTGCTTTCAAGCCACTTGTATCAAAAAAGAAGCTTCAAGAGGAATTCAAAGGGTTGAAGTTAAAAGGTGTCTGTATATTTCTTTTGTTATACAGGAGTTGTAGATCTTATGGCTCTGACAGTGAAAGTGACCGAAGTTACTCTCATCACCGGAGCCCCAGTGAAAGCAGCACATATAGTTGAAAATGTCCCCTTTTTTGATACAAATTACATCTTGTTTGTAAATATCTGGTAACTTAAAAGTTTAAGAAACTTAATGGCATTCTGTTGTTCTATTTCAGTATTAGAGATAAGTTTCAAAAATAGGCACTTCTTAATTGTTATTGTCCATTTACATGTGCACAGAATTTAAAATACAGATATGTCTCCTAAAAATATTTTTATGCCACATTTTACAGTAGCCAACTATGGAAATGAATTTCATTTTCTTGAATCAAGAAGTCATGAAATTTAAGTATAATTTGCAATATTATTTTAGATTATTTCTTTCCATCTCACGTATTCCTTAGAATACAGATTCTTTTTGCCCGTTTTTCAGGTTTTAGCCTATATGCTGCCAAGCACAGAACTGTGAAGAACTGGTAAAGGTGGCCAAATATTTATATACCACTTACACCGTCTTATACATATGTGCTCTTAAAAACAAACCACCCAGAATTGTTACTGATGGTAGCCAGGAGTCTGAGGCAGTGGCTCTGGAGTTCTTAATTCCTTCCTTCCTTCCTTGGTTGTTATCAGAGGATCAGGAGCGTGGTCATCATACAGCCCACCGTCTATCTGTACTACTCCTGCCTGGTGGGTGAGGTTAGGAAGAATAAATCAGCCTTAACTACAAATACCTGGACTGTGTCTAAGGCCCTAACGTTTTATGTGCTTTGTAATACATACTCTCAGAAGTTTAGATTGTAAAGAACAATTCTGTTCCAGTTCCTGTTTTGGTGCTCGGTACCTTTTGGTGCCTCTTCAAGTATACGTCACGTTAGAATCTCAGAGGAGAGAGAAGTGATTTTTTTTTTTTTTTTTTTTTAATTCGCTGGTAACCAGGCATGGTTCCTTCTTCTGAGCTGTATTCACTTTAAATATCTGGAGGGTCTCTCTTAAGCTCCGTTGTGGCCTAGGGTCCCCTGGAGCAGGCAGGATTGGCACATGGTGTCGTGTGGCCCCTTGGGGCTGTTGCACACAACTGGCACGCGTGCCTCTGGAAGAGCGGATTGACGAGTAGACTTCTGAGTACCACCAGAACCTCATTGCCACCATCCTGGAGACATTTTGGGGGGCTTTTAAGTCTTTCAAGTAAGAGGGATCTGCCCCAACAGCAGCTGAACTGTTCTAAGCACCAGCATGTTTTTCCTCTTTCTACTGTGACCCACTCTGACTTAGTGATGCTCACAAGACATGAGTAAGTCTGGGACAACAGGGGAAGAGGGGTACAGGACTGCACAGACGACAACCTTTTCAGCTTTGGGTGGTTCCTCCAAAAGTGATTTGACCTGTAAAAACTGGTGTGTGTGTGTGTGTGTGTGTGTGTGTGTGTGTGTGTTTAATCTTTTGAGTTTTTCCCCCAAGTGTACTTAATCACCTTAGTGCCAGTTTAAGCCAGTTATGCAGAAGAAATTCATATTGGATGTTTGATGTGGAATTCTGCACACCCTACCCAGGCCTTGCTTGGGGTACTTGAGAAGTGGGAAAGAACCCTCAGTTGGAGGGATCTGACAGCCCTTGATGGGTGGAGGGGTGACCTTGGATATTTTAAAACCATCACCCATAAAAGGTTCGTAAACAGGGTTAAATGGTCAGCTGTTCGCCAGGTTGATAGACAAGAGTACATTAGGAAAAAAGGACCCAAGTCAACTAGACCTACTTCCTAGTGAATGCAGAACAATATGTGATTCATGTGAAGGGTTTTCCAAAAGTTGCCTGTAATACTCCATGGGAAAAAAAACTACATTCAGAACTCAAACAGAAATTGCCAGATCTAACTAGGTTAAGAAAAGCTACCCTTGGACAATACTGGTTTTCTCTTGCCATGTAACAAATTACCCCATGCTTAGCAGCTTAGAACAACACCCATTTCTTAGCTCACAGTTCTGTAGCTTGTGAGTCTGGCACAGTATGGCTGGATTCTCTGCTCAGGGTCTCTCTCATGAGGCTGAGATCAAGCGTCAGCAGGGCAGCATTCCTTTATGGAGACTCTCGGGAAGAATCTCCTCCCAAGTTTATTCGGTTCCTTGTTGGTTGTCAGCCAGAGACTTCTCCCTCATCTCCTGAAGGCTGCTCGCGCTCTTCTTGACCGTTCCCCCTCCATCTTCAAACCCTCAGTGGCCCATTATACTTCCCATTTCTCTGGCTTCCTCATCATTTTTAAGGTTCATGTGATTAGATCAAGCCCACTCATCAAGTCTCCCTATTTTCATGTCAGCTCTGCCATAGAACACAGCATAATCACAGGAGTGGCTGCATAGGTGCAGGGTCCTGGCATGGGGGTAGAAGCAGGGGTGCAGGTGGGGGCAGGCTGTTCTAGAACCCCACCTAACCCAGACAATAACTGCCCACTGTGGGGAAGTTTCATCCCAAAAAGGTGGGCCCTAGAAGCCTCAATTGTTTCCTTCATGGAAAAGAACAGCCCTCAGCCGCCGCATTCAATTGTGTGTTTACTGAATGAACTACAAAAATAGCTTTTCTGCCTAGAGGGGATTGTTCTGTATTTTAAGTTATTTTTTAATAAAATTTAATTATGTTGTGTATTGTGCTTCTTAATAGAAAATGTATTATTGGACTGTTTTTGTAACATCTTGTTTACTGCAAATGAAACATGATATAGCTGGTATTGTTCAAAACCTGTAGGAAATACTTTTGTACATATCGGCAATGTCTAATTTGTATACACTTCATTTAAATGTTCCTAAAACTTGAAAGGGGGACCTTGTAGAAATTAAAATATATACTTAGTCTAAATCTGCCTGTTTCATCTTTATTTTACTCATCCAGACTTCAGATCTCTCTGAAGCGGAAAAGGAACCGTGGGGTCTCTTTGCTGACCCAGCCAGTAGAGAGACTTCATCTCTGCAGCTCATTTCCATCCTGTGGCTGAGTGTTCGTGGTGGGGCGTGAGGTGGAGCTGGAGAGAACCTCAGGCAGAGATGGGGATGTTCAGTACCCAGAGAAGCGTTGATGGTGCTTGGTCTCGCTTCCCCTGCAAACTCCACATTTCCCCTGGGCTTTGTGGTCATTCAGCTGAGGTGACCTGCCTACAGATGCCTTTGCTGAGGAGGGACGGGTCCCCTCTCATCTGGGAGCTGCTGCCTCGGGATAGCACACTTAGCTGTCCGCACCCCGGACAGCCTCCGCCTTCCCGCCCTGACAGTGGTTCGCTGAGCACACGGCACTCGCTCCTTGAGAAAGCATTCATGGTGATATTTTTAGTGTCCACATGAGAATTTGCAGGGCAAGTACAATTAACTTTTTTCTCCTCAGAACTCAGAGGAATATGTATTTTCTTAGTGAATACAACATAACCTGTCACAGACTTGCAGAGATTCAATTTTCAGAATTAACGGTAGACGCCCAAGTCAGAATCCCTGACAATAGTCAAATCTAGATGCACTAAAATTTAAAGAAAATTTCAGTCTTTTTGCTGTAGGGGAGTCCCCAAGTGAGGTTCCTTTTTAGTGAGCTCCAGCATTCTGTTCACACTCTGATTCTGTTCATGTTATCATTCTGATAATGATCGCTTTGATCAGCTGGGCGGTGCTGGAGGGAAATGTGTCAAGGACTTTGGTCTGGCTGTTCTGAATTAGCTGGGCATTAAATAAGAGGTAAGAGAATTCAAGAAATATGCCCCTATCACAAGTGACACTGAACACTGGCTTGGCATCACTGTTGGGGAAGGAGGGGAAGCTGTAGTTGGTGCAGAGAAACTTGCTGAGCTAGTGATGCAAATCAGCTGGCCAGGTGAGGCTTGGAAGCCACGCCTCACAAGCCTACCTCACTCGCTGAAGAGCCTGGACTCGAGAGCGGGTTTCTAGAAAGAAGTCCCAGGAGAGACTTGGGAGAGAATGAGTTGGAACACAAGCTGAGAGGAATCCTGGGCTGGAAGAAGTCCTTGGGTGCGGGGTAGGGGGTAGGGGTGGGGAGGGGAGGGCACACTGCCAGGACACAAAGGAGGCAGGAGGCTCTACTGGTCTGTTTAGAGGTTTTGGTAGAGGCAGTGCTTCCTTGCCCCTTTCCCCTCCCCCTGTAAATCACCCGGCCACCGTGAACTGTGCCAGTCTTGAGGCCAAGTACTTCTGCCTCGTGGAGACCCTGGGCCCACCATTCATAGCTCCACAGGCTAGCCTGAGCACTGTTGGGTCTCCTCAACTGGCCTAGAGCCCCAAGGAAATAAGTAAAAAAGGAGTGACCCGGGGCTGCAGCAGAGACACCTACATTCCGCCTCTGGAGTCCTGACCCTGAGCCTCTGACTGCTCTGTGTACTAAGAGGACTTGGATTGCCCATTGCTTGGCTCACAAGCCCTGAAGGAGGGTGTGCACAACGGGCGCACTGGACGTGGAAATTGGTGGTACCCGTCCCTTCCCAGTCTTGTCTGGTGAGGAGCTGGCCTACAGGGGGTTACCCAGGTCCTCCTGCAACCAGCATCTCTACCAGCAGGCCAGGTTCCCAGAGAAGGGGGCTGAGAAGGACCCCACTAATCTCAGTGCCTCAGGCCTAATTTGATTTTATTTTGAATTAAGACCTCTCTGGCAACTGTTCTACGGTACAGTCCTTAAGAGATTTGAGCTAGGCCCACACTGCCTGGGTTCAAGTTCTACTCTGTCAATTCCTAATTGAGTAACTAGATAACTTGCTTGACCTTTATAATTCGGCTCCTCAAATGAAAATCTGGGATACCAAGCCTCCTCCTTAAAAGTAGTGAGAATTAAATGCTCAGAACCAAGGATACATCAAAGGTCCAGGGACGCTGGCCCCTGGGATTGCCTCCAGGAGGAGGGTAGGAGCCCACAGGTTTCATGTGGAGGGTCCCTTGAACCAAAAGGGTGGGAGAGGATCCTAGAAGCTTCTGGGGAGGCCTCGAATGTGAATGCCAAGGCCATGATGTTTACACAGCAGGAGGGAACTGGGCAACCTGCCGGTTTGAATTAGGCCCCCACACCCCCAGCAGCTGTAGCCTATTAGTGTGGTGCTCAATGGTGGCAGAACACAGGAGCAACACCCCCAGCTCCACACCCAGAGCTCCATGCTCTCCAACCCTGAAGGGACCGGAGTCAGCCCCTAGCGGGTAGCTCGAACCCTACCATCCCACTGACTTAATGCTGTGTTGTCCCCTTCTGTTCCCGGACACTGTCCACTCTACTGTCCTATCGCAGCTACAGCAGGTATACAGCCTTTTGCCTGCCTAAGGAGGCTGAGTCCTGGGCACACATGCATGTACACACACACACACACACACACACACACACACACACACACCCTAATCCCACCCTGGGCTGTTTATTATTTCTAGGCTCAGTAGGGGAGAGTCTGGTGTCCCCAGGCAAGCCTGGGAACTGCCCTAACACAGTTTGGGTCTGTTTCTCCTCGACACGGGACAGAAACCAGGCTAGATGCTTCGGGAAGTTATGAGGACACCCATGAGCTGACCTCTCAAGGCAGGGGCATGGCTTTGCTGACCTTGCCAGCACCCAACCCCAAGTGTCCAAAGGATCACCCAGCTCCCCACCTGTCTCCACAAACTGGATTACCCTTGGGGCCTGGGATTCTGACCTGGGATCGTCCTTCCCAATAACCCAGTCCAGAAAGCCTGCCTTGACCAACATTGAAGTGAAGCGCCCAGGGCAAGGCCCTCTCCAAAGCCAAGAGCAATTTTGTCATCCCTATCCAGCCAGCCACTCCCACCCGACAAGAACCTTGACTCTACCATATCAAATCGCCTCTAGTTGCCTGCAGATGGTATCCTGTCTCTGCTCTCCTGGCCTTTGCAGGGGCCGTTCTCTGCCTGGAGTACCCCTTTTCTCCCTCTGCTCTAGTTAACTGTCAGTCCTCAACTCCTGAGTGTACCCATTTGAGCTGACCATACTGGGCTTTTCAAACGGCCCCTTCCTGCCTGGTTCATGGGACCCAAGTGCCAGCAGCCTCTCCCAGAGCTGCCTCTGCCCTTGGGGCTCCCCTAGTAGATGGGCTAGAGACCAGAGAAGCAAGAGGGGAACAGCTGTGGTCTTCAGGGACATAGACCCCTGTTCCTCCTCTTCTCACCCCAACCTCCAGCCCCTCCTTGGCTTGACTGCTGCAGCAAGACCAATCCCAAAGAGGCCAGCAGCCCTACCTTGGTTATGTAATGCTGGCCACGCCCCCTTGCCAAGCCTTGGCTGGAAGTGGGCCCAGGAGTGTCCGGAGCAGTCCATACAGCCAGGCTCCTTCTAGCCCTCGGGGGAGGCCACTCTCTCCCAAACTCTCCTTTCCCCAGCTCCTGACACTGGTGCCCAGCTACGTGATTTGTCCTGCTCTGTAATGGGTACACAATCCTTCCCCTGTCACCTTCCAGCTCACTGTGGCTAGAATAGAGGACGAGGCAGAAAGCAGCACTGGGGGTGACAAGTTTGGTCAGGCATGCAGGCCACTCTGGCCTGGGTTCAGCCTGAGGCCTCCAGGAGCTGGACTGGCTGTCTGTGCACTTACCATGGTCACAGAAGTGAGGGATGTCTGCAGTGGCTCCTGCTGGGGGCATGTCCCCGGCTGTGCCCCCACTCTCCTCCCACGCCCTTATCCCCCAGGGGCCCTCCCCACGCTCCATCTAGCTCTGTGTGTTCTTCCCCTTCATCTTGGCACTCTTTTGGTCACCCCCATCCGTGCCTCTGAGATGTCTTCTCCTGGCCCTGGAGTCAGGAGGCCCTTACCATGTTACAGGGCAGACCATCAGACTTTCTGATGGCGCCTGCCTGGGATCTTCACCTCTGTTCCATTTCCTCCCCTGGCACCCAGAACCAAGTGACTCTGAGCAGGCCCTAGAGTCCCTGCCCACTCAGGAGGAAGATGGCATCCCCAGGGGCCCCTACTCCAGCCAGGCAGGGGCTGCTGTGTAAGCACATGGGCCCGTGTGCCCAGAGGGGTGCGGGGACTGTCGGGGCGAGGGCACTATCAGAGTGACCAGAGATAGGGCAGCAGCCAGTTTGGGGCGGGGTGGGGGGCACAGGAGGGCATTGGAATGATAACATGGGCCACACGAGTGGCCCACAAGAGGCTCCCTCTCCACCCTGGTGGCTCAGCTACCACCTAGGCCCTGCCAGGCCAGCGCCCTGTGGTCCCCACCCTGCCGCCTGCTCAGGCTGGCAGCGCTCCTTTGCAGCCTCCTGCCAGCACGGCTTGCCCCCTGCCCCCACTGGTGTCCATGCCAGAGCAGCATTCCGCCGGCCTAGCTGCATCTCCCCAGCAGAGGCTGAGCGGGGAGGCTACTCAGCAGTGGTCGGGTCACATGGGGGAGGGGTGCAGCGGGGCCCCCCGGCCTCTGGCCCTCACTCCGCTCATCTTGCCTGGGCCCGCCACCTTCAAGGCTTGCTTGCTGCTGCTGTAGTCTGAGTTCTTGTATCTCCCGCCCTAGCGAGGGCGCGAGCAGCCAGAGGAGGCCACCAGGTAGGTATGGGTCAACCAGCACAGAGCAAAATGAGCCCTGGGCTGTCTTGGGCTAGGGGTGGGGGGCCGGGCTAGCTGGAGATCCCAGACTCACCCTCAGGTCAAAGCGGCCCAGGCCAGAGGGTGGGGGTGGTGAGCGAGGCTAGGGTACGGGGGTTCGGTCTCTCAGCTTGGGGTCGCTCAGGGGAGCAGGTGGAAGGCTTTCGGCAGCTAGTTGGGGAGTGGGCGCGCCCAGCTTCCCGATTTCAGGGCCGCCTCCTACTCCGACCCCGCCTCTGTGGCGCTTCTGGAAGGCACCGAGATTAGACTCTGGGACGAACTTCCCGGCAGAAAGGGGGCTCGGCGCAGGAGAGTGAAGCCGGGGCCCATCGGTTGGGATGGGAGCAGTGAGACCCGGCTGGGGGCCCCGGCGGCCCGAGGCAGAGCAGACTGCGGTGGAATCGCGCACACCACGCGTGTCCGCGCCCCCCGCCGGCACGCAGGGCGGCCTGGCCCTTTAAGCGTCCAGACGGCGGCCCCAGCTGACGCGCGGGCTCCAATCGGCGCCCCGCGCCCCCCGCCCGCCGCGCCCGAGGCTCTGGGGCCGCAGCTGCTCGGCGGCTGGACTCGCCGCGGCCCTGCGCCTCCGCCCGCCCGGCCGCGCCCCCGGGGGCCATGGTCGCGGGGCCCTGCGCGGGGGCGGCCCCCAGCGCGGCGCTTCATGGAGCGGCCCCGGCCCGGCCGCCGGGGGCAGCGCGATCCCGCGGGGCCCTGTGAGCCCCCAGCGCCACGGCACCATGGTACGCAAGGCCCTGCCTGTCCCCCCGCTTATCCGCCCACCTGCCCACTCTGCCCTCCCGAGCGTACGGCCCGCCGGCTCCGGGTGGAGGAGTTGGAGGGATCTTCTCCCTCGCCGCGTCTCCCCGGCCCCTTCTCTCGGGTCCCCGCGGGCCAGGAATGCGGCTCTGTGGCGCGGCCCTCGGCGGGGAGGGGGTTAAATTCCTGGGGTGGGGGCCCGGGCGCGAGAGGCCGAGGTCTTACTCGGCACCCGCGGAGGGGGGCGCTTCTCTGAGCCTAGGACGGCGCCGCCCTCGGACTGGGTGATGCGGGGGAGGGGGGAGGTCGGATTCCCGCCTGGGCCTTGGGCCACGTGGGCGCTGGAGCCGCCCTGCCTGGGGATTTGGGGCGACTGGGCCAAGCGGGGTGTGTTGGGGCGGGACGTCCTCAGCTCCTGTCCAAACTACTGTGTGACCTTGGGGCAGTCCTCTGCCCTCTCTGGGCCTGTGTCCTGGGAAAGGAGTGGGGCCATGAGTGCAGAAGAGGCTGGCACAGATACCCCCTCTCCAAAAGGAGGCGCCTGGGAGTCATGAACCTATGCCCCCTTGCTCAGTGTGGGTGCCCCCCTCCCCACACCGGGCTGCGGGGCAGTAAGGATTGGCGTGGGCGTTTGGGAGGTGGTGCAGATGTCTGCCCAGGTTTCATCCCAGTGCCTCCAGGGAGGCACTGGGGCAGGCTAGGGAGCCTGTGGGGCTTCATGGCACAGAGACAGGGTACCCCTTCGAAGCAGAAGGCTCTGGCCCTGGGGAGCAGTCAAGGCAGGAGTCCCTGGCACCTGGCCTCTCCCCACACCACCCCCGCCCCCAATGTCGCTTGCAAATAGAGTTTGAGGGCTTGACACCCCCTGGCAGTGGGAGCCCAAACCACTCCCCTGTTCTAGCATCTCAGGTCCTCCTGGGCTGGACTTGAGGGTGGGGTGTATGGCTGCAGCTGGCCCCCATGATAGGGAGGCATGTGTGCAGTTTCAGGGAACTCGCCCATCTGGCTGGGATGGGGGGGGGGCAGTGCAGCTGGTGGGCCTTGCATGGGAGCTGCCAGGCGGGGTTGCAGGGGGACGGTGAGCCCTGCTGAGGTAGTTGATGGGTTATGGACTCCCAGCAGCATGGGTGTGCCATCAAGGAAGTCCAGTCAGGGTGCCTGGTGGAGACTCTTGGGCCCCTCCATGGTGCGGAGTGGCACTGGCTTGGGGCTTTCTGGCATGGGAACAGAGTCTTTGGGGCACCCATTATTCTCTGAGCTAACCCCTCCTTCCCTGCTGAGATCAGGGGGCCCTGGCACCAGATCTGCGCACAGAAATGTCAGGCACTGCCTTTTTTTTTTTCCCCAGTGCCAGGTAGGCACTGGGGGGCATTCTTTGATGGGAGACCAGAGAGGGCTGGGGGCCCTGCCTAGGATGTGCTCCCCTCAACAGACCTGGCTTGAACGGGCCTTTATCCAAGCCACTTCTGCCCCTGTCTGGCCCCTGGTGGCCCTTAGGGGCCCCGTCACAGCCCAGGTTGCACACTGCTCTCTCATGGACCTGCAGGTGGCGGGGGTAATGGCGGGGTCCCGGCAAGCACAGCTGGTCCTCTGAGTCAGAGGTTCCCCAGATGCCTCTTCCTGCTTTTTCAGGCATCAAATGCCAAGAAATCCATCCATGGGGAGGGGTGTCCAGTCCTGCCCAGCAGGGAAGGGCTGGCCTTAAGCAGAGCTGGGAGTCTAGGAGCTCTGCCACTGCGCACTGTGCGACCTTCCCCATCTGTTCTGAGCCTCAGTTTCCCCATCTGTGCAATAGAGTTTGGTCCCAGAAGATGAATCAGAATGAGTCAGAGGAGGGAGGTGGGAGGGACTTGGCACCATGTCCCCGTTAGATTGGCCCGGCCTGGATAGGCCGGCAGTCCTGAGACAGAGGGGGCAGATGGGTGGCTTCTTGGCCGAGGGGAAGGAGGCGTAGGAGAACTCAAGGGAGGTAGCGTCCATGGTCAAGAGTGGCCAGACGGGGATTGGAGAGCATCGGGTGGGTGCTGCTGGGCATGGCTGGGTGTGCAGTGGTGGGGTGGGGGGCCAGGAACAGATCTGGAAGCAGGTTGCCCCTGAGGCTCTTTGAGGTTCATCCTGAGACCCCAGGCTGATTCTCATTCAGGTGACTGAGAAGGTGAACCCAGATATCACCTCCCCCCTCCCAGCCCAGTCTGGGCCCACCGCTGCTGCCCCACCAGTGGAAGGACTAGCATGGAGGGTTGGGGTGGGCTGTGGATGGACGGGCTTGCAGGGAAGGTGCTTGGGGGAGAAAACCTGATGGCTCTGTGGCAGTGAGGCAAGGTATTCCTCACATATAGGAGGCTCTGATCCAGCTCGACAGGGCCTAAGGATGGCCAGAAACTGGACCATGCAGGCTTAGTCCAGCCAGGCAAGTGATCCATAGATGGTAACTGAAAAACTCTGCCCTGGACCCGGGCAAGGGAGTGGGCAGCCTGCTTCTCAGCGCTGGCTATCTTTTGGGAAAGCTGCTGTGGAGGACCCAGGAATGATTAATTATTAATTAATTATTTAATAAGGACCCAGCCCTTATTCTGGACAATTCACAGGGGCTGGTTGTGGCTCAGGAGCCTGATAATCTGACCCATCAAACTTTGAGGGCCTCTCTGGGGCTCCAAAGTCCCCAGGTAGTGCAGCTTCCAAGATGGGGCCATCTCCGAGCCTCTGTGCCTGGACCACACCTGACCTGGGCTCTGGGGTTCTAGAGGGAAGAGGGTCTAGGGCAGGCCTTGGGGGCCTCCTGTCTCTAAGCCTGGTGGACAGAAAACACAGCAGTGTCCTTCTACCTCCACAGAACCCCTGTGTGAGGGGGAGATGCCAGCAGCCAGGCCTGAGGCTCTGGGCAGCAGCCTGGCCCAGTAAGGAAGGGCTGCCTAGATCCCACTGGCCTCCTCCAGCAGGGCAGGAAGACCAAGGTCTGGGCCTGGATTTCTTCACAAGAATTTCTATCCCTGCAAAGCCTTAGGCCCAGGCCTTGAGGCCCCACTGCCAGTGAGGTGAGGGGTTCCTAGGTACTATCCCTGGGGCACAGTAGTAGCCAGAGGCCAAGCAGTGAGCCAGTGAGCCTTTCATTCTGGAGGGGCCTGGGGTCGGGCAGGCGTGGCTTTATTTGTGCATGTGAGGGAGAGAATCCGCAGAGCTCAGGAACTGCTGAAGGAATGCTTGCTTCTGGGGTGGACCCCTGGCCCCAGTTTGCCCGGACTGGCCCAGTGTTAGCATGGAAAGCCCCTAAGTCCCATGCACTCTGGGATGCCAGTGACCCTCGTCCCTGTTCCTTCCTCTTCCCTTCTCTTTCCCTTCCCTGCCCAGGAGGACTTCCTGTCTCACAGGGAAGAGCTGGACGCCCAGAAAAGTTAACCAACTCACTCAGGAGCTGCCAGTCGTGATTGGAATCTGAGTTCTGAGGGGCAGCTGGCTTGGGCCCGAGCCCTGGCTCCCCGCGTCCTGGCCAGAGCTTCGGGTCCTTTTCTAGAACACGGAGACTGGAGTGTCGGGCAGGCTGCCTCCTGCACAGTGGGCGCTGCCCGGGTTGCTGGCCTTGACCTGACCTGTGCCCTCTGCTCCCCCCCTCCGCCCCTCGCAGTTGCTGGTTGAGAAGACGACAGACTCACCGGCGGCCGAGTTCTCGCTGGTGGAGGACGTGGCCCTACACTTTGCCTGCTTGATGGGCCGCCTGAACGAGCAGCGCCTCTTCCAGCCCGACCTCTGCGACGTGGACCTGGTGCTGGTCCCCCAACGCAGTGTCTTCCCGGCACACAAGGGCGTGCTGGCTGCCTACAGCCAGTTCTTCCACTCGCTCTTCACCCAGAACAAGCAGCTGCAGCGCGTGGAGCTGTCCCTGGAGGCGCTGGCCCCCGGTGGTCTGCAGCAGATCCTCAACTTCATCTACACGTCCAAGCTGCTGGTCAACGCGGCCAACGTGCACGAGGTGCTCAGCGCCGCCTCGTTGCTGCAGATGGCCGACATCGCCGCATCCTGCCAGGAGCTGCTGGACGCCCGCTCCCTGGGCCCCCCGGGCCCCAGCGCCGTGGCCCTGGCCCCGCCGGCCACCGGGGGCTGCACCCCGGCCGCACCCCCCTACTACTGCGACATCAAGCAGGAGGCAGACGCCCCGGGCCTGCCCAAGATCTATGCCCGTGAGGGCCCTGACCCCTACTCCGTGCGTGTCGAGGACGGGGCCGGGACTGCGGGGGGCCCGGTGCCGGCCGCCATTGGGCCGGCTCAGCCCTTCTTCAAGGAGGAGAAGGAGGGTGGTGCCGAGGAGGCCAGTGGGCCCCCGGGCAGCCTCTGCAAGCTGGAGGGCGGGGAGGGGCTGGAGGAAGAGCTTGGGGGTTCCGGCACCTACAGCCGCAGGGAGCAGTCCCAGATCATCGTGGAGGTGAACCTCAACAACCAGACTCTGCACGTGTCTACGGGGCCTGAGGGCAAGCCAGGCTCCACCACAGGCCCGGCCACCATGGTGCTGGGCCGGGAGGACGGGCTGCAGAGACACTCAGAGGACGAGGAGGAGGAAGAGGAGGAGGAGGAGGAGGAAGAGGAGGAGGAAGAGGAGGGTGGCGGCAGTGGAGGGGAGGAAGAGGAAGAGGAGGAAGAGGAGGGTGGCAGTCAGGGAGAGGAGGAAGAAGAGGAGGAGGAAGGGCACAGTGAGCCAGAGGAGGAAGAGGAGGAGGAAGAGGAAGGGCACAGTGAGCAGGATCAAGAGAGCTCAGAGGAGGAAGAAGAGGAGGAAGAAGGGGGGGAGGCGGGGAGCAGGCAGGGGCCAGCAGGGCGGCGGGGCAGCAGGGCAGAGCCCCCTCCCCACAGCCGCATGGCCACGCGGTCTCGAGAGAACGCCCAACGCCGAGGCCCCCCTGAGCCCGAGGAGGCCAGGCCTCGGGGTGGGAAGAGGCCCAAGCCTGCTCCAGGGGGAGCCCCTGCAGCGGCCCGAGGGCCACAGGCCACTGACGGGCTGGGGGCCAAGGTGAAGCTGGAAGAGAAGCAGCACCACCCGTGTCAGAAGTGCCCTCGAGTCTTCAACAACCGCTGGTACCTGGAGAAGCACATGAACGTGACCCACAGCCGCATGCAGATCTGTGACCAGTGTGGCAAGCGCTTCCTGCTGGAGAGCGAGCTGCTACTGCACCGGCAGACAGACTGTGAGCGCAACATCCAGGTGGGCCTGGGGGGCTCCTCCTAGGGCGGGTGGGGCAGGGCTGGGCTGGAGGGCCGGAGGCTGGCCCCCCAGGGTCCTGCTGCCTGCCGTGCCCAGACACACTTACCCCTGGCCCATGGGGCCAACCTGGGCCCAGGGTGGTGAGCACTCAGGGGAGAACACCAAGGAGGGCTTCCTGGAGGAGGCAGCTAGACCTGGGCTTTGGCACATGGAGACATGTGCAGATGGGACAGGAACAAACAGTACTCTTGGCCAGAGGGGCAGAGGGGAGGATGAGAGGAGGGAGTTGTCTGAGTACTTGAGGCTGATGGATAGCCAGCTCTGAGGAGGGGTGAGCCTGTGTTTTAGTAAATACTAAGGCTGCTGGAAGGCCATCAGGGCCACCACGCATAGTTTCTCAGGCTGGGTTCCGCACAGAAGCCCAGACGAGGAGGGGCAGGGTTTGCCCGGAGGGGGCGCCATTTCCACTTCCACAGAGGCTGAATAGAGCAAGGGGGTGGCCCGGAGGAGGAAGCCCCTGCTGTCAGCTCTTTGGAGATGCCAGCTGGCCTGGGCTTGGGAAGAGGGATTGGATGAGAAATTTGGGAAAAGCAGGGGCTGCCGGGGCCAAGCAGGGGGGCTGGGCTGGCTGCCAGGCCTCGTTGGCCTGAGTGTGCGCCAGCTCTGCCTCCCAGGGTGCAGGCAGCACAGGGTCCGCCAGGCTGCTTTTTATCCCTTCTGGCCACGAGGGGGTTGTGGGGGCAGCAGGTAGGCGAGTGCTAATTGCCTGAGCTAATTGCTAATTGCAGTGCCCTGTGGAGAAAGTGTTACCTGGAGGGTTACCTGGTCTCCTGCCCCGCCCTCCTGCACCTGTTCCCACTTGCCTGCCCGCTGGGCTGCCCTTTGTCTCTCCACTGCACACACCCGAACCTTCCTTTCGGAGGGGAAAGCTGCATGTACCTCTTCTGACCTGGGCACCTTGACCCGAGTCCAGTTCTGCCCCAGTTCTGACCTGTTCCAACCCTCTGGAAGTGTCTTCTGTGGGGATGGGGAGGACAAGAGGAGGAGGGGAGCATGGCCCCTGGGGTTCCCACTACCATCCCATTTCCTCATGGGACTCAGGACCCCTGCCTCTCCCCACCCCAGCCAGCACTTTGGCACCTCTCTCCTTCGGGATCTCCAGGGTGTTGGGGCATAGGTCCTGGCAGGGAAGAGGCCAGATGTGGGATCTGAGAAGGGCTTCTCCATGCACTGTATGCAACCTCCTCACACACCGTGGCCCTTCGGCCAGTTATGTGTTTCCCCTTGGTAGACAGGTGCCTTGTTGAAATGAGCACGGAGTCAGAGCTTCCTGTATAGGGGGTCCCTGACCCGAGTCCAGTTCAAGGGTAAGGAAGGGCCCCAGGCCGTAGCTCAGGGTAGGTGGGCATCTTTTTAGGGAGTTACTATCCCCAACTCCCAGAATGTCAGATTTGGCGGGCTGCTGGACATCGAGGGCTCTCCCTCCAGCACAGTCCACGTGCAGAAACTGAGGTCCAGAGAGGGGCAGATTGTCCCAGGGCACACAGTCCTGACGAAGGACCCAGGGCCTAACATCCTCTCCCTTTGCAGTGTGTGACGTGTGGCAAAGCTTTTAAAAAGCTCTGGTCTCTCCACGAGCACAACAAGATCGTGCATGGCTATGCAGAGAAGAAGTTCTCATGTGAGATCTGCGAGAAGAAGTTCTACACCATGGCCCATGTGCGCAAGCACATGGTTGGTAAGTCTGGCCCTAGGAGGGAATGGGGTCTGGGGTCAGAGCTGGGCCAGCTGCTGGTTGTGCTGGGAAGGACTTCTCATCCCAGGGCAGCGTGAAGGTGTGAGGAGGCCCCTCTCAACTGGGAAGCCTGGGAAAACTTGTTGCAGTAGCAGGTGTGACTTGGATAGGCTCAGAGGTTGGGGCTACCATGTACGGTTGGGCAAGTTGGACACTGAGCAAGCGTTCCTGGACAAGATGGAAGGGGGCGCCCAGAATCCAGCTGGCACACTGCTAACCAGACTATGCATCTTAGCATGGGGTTTTGGCCACCAGGGAAAGAAATACCTTTTCCTAAATTACACAGAATGCCTTATGGGCTGACACAGGCCCTGTCTCAGTTTGATGACAACTGTGCCTCTCATTTTTTTCTCACCTTACAGCCCTTATAGGCCTTCAGGCTCCTCTGAATGAGGAGGCCCCCACAAATGTGTGCTGGGCTCCTCCTCTGTCTTGGGATGGCTGTCCCTCCCCTCTAGGAGGGTCTGACTGGCAGTCTGGTGTTAGAGTGGCCCTCCTTTCTTTGCCAGCTTCCGGTCTGGGGCTCAAGAGAGGTGTGGCCCCGGGCCAGGTCTTACCCCTTTCTCTAGCCTCCTGGGAGCTGGGACCCTGGGGTGGAGGTCCAGGCCAGGAGTATGTTGCATAGCCCAGGACTGGTGGTCTTCCTGGGCTCAGCTTCCTCAGCTCTGAGCTGTAAGGGGAACTCTCTGGCCCCAGTCACTTCCTTGAAGAGTTTGTTTGTCTTCATCTGTCCGTGGTTTTGGGGGGAACACAGCCATTCCCTCTGGACTACCTAGTGTCATCCCCTGTAAAGCCCACCTTTGAGGTTCAGTACCACTCCTGGCCTCTCTCCGTAGAAGGACACTCTGAGGCGCACAGAGGCAGTGCGGAGAGCCAGTGGCGGGGCTAGGGTCTGAGCCGAAGCCAGTACTGCTTGGGGTCCTTGCCCCAAAGTCAGCCCCAGGTGCTAGACCAAGGCTCTGAGGCAGACCGTGAAGCAGAGGGGCCTCCCTGGAGGCCCAGTATGGGAGGTGGCTAGGCAGGGATCCCCTAGGAGCGGCCGTGGAGGTCACTCTGAGACATAATGGCCTGCCCCACAGCCCACACCAAGGACATGCCCTTCACCTGCGAGACCTGTGGGAAGTCCTTCAAACGAAGCATGTCTCTCAAAGTGCACTCACTGCAGCACTCTGGGGAGAAACCCTTCCGGTGTGAGGTGAGTCCCTTTCTCTGCCTGCCCCAAGGGCCACCCTGGACCCTCAGGGGTCAGGAGCAGCAGCTGTTTCACAACCAGGGAGTTGGGGGCAGTGGAGTCCAGGATTCAGAAAGAGGGGTGGCCCCCTGGTGTCTGTGGCCCCCACCTCCCACAGCGTTCTGACCCCACCACTGCCCACTTGCCCCCCTCCCACCCCCACCCTCAGCCACCCCTCCCTGACCCAACACCCACACAGTCAAGGTGAGCCCTGCCCTTGGTCTGCCACCAGGCAGGGGACAGACTGTCTGGAGAGGTCCAGAGAGGCACATCTCAGGCAGAGCAGCAGGCTGCGGGGTGGGGGGTGGGAGAGTCGGAGGGTGGGGGACGGTGTTCCGACAAGGAGCAAGGATGGGGGGCCGTGGCCTTATGTAGGACGACTCCCTCCATTCTGTGGCCTTTTCCCACTTCCTGCCTTCCCTCCGGGCCTGGGCCCTGGCCGCCCTTAACCCTTCTCTGCCCCTGCGCCCCCTGCCCCAGGAGCCCCTCTCCGTGTGTGTCCGCCCTGGGCCCCTAAGTCCCCGCAGCTGCTCCCCAACTTGCTGCTCTCTACCTTGCGCCTGGGCCTCACCCTCCCCCCACCGGCAGAACTGCAACGAGCGCTTCCAGTACAAGTACCAGCTGCGCTCCCACATGAGCATCCACATCGGCCACAAGCAGTTCATGTGCCAGTGGTGCGGCAAGGACTTCAACATGAAGCAGTACTTCGATGAGCACATGAAGACCCACACAGGTACGCGCACTTCCCAACGGCGGGGTGGGGGCGGAGTGCAAGGCTGCAGGAGGGGGGCTCCCCCCCCCCGCCCCCCTCCCCGCGCTGCCCCAGGATGCCTGCCTGCGATGGCCCCAGCTGCACCCCTTCTCCACTCCGGGCCTCCGTTCACTCTTCTGGGGGTGGGGGGGTGGGGGGGTGCTCAGCGCCGTCCTCCGCACCTCTCCCTGGGCAGGGAGGCCCCGCGGGTGCCGGGGTGCGCCGACTTCTCGGTGACGCCCCTCTGCCCGTGTCAACGCCCAGGGGAGAAGCCGTACATCTGTGAGATCTGTGGCAAGAGCTTCACCAGCCGCCCCAACATGAAGCGGCACCGGCGCACACACACTGGCGAGAAGCCGTACCCCTGCGACGTCTGCGGCCAGCGCTTCCGCTTCTCCAACATGCTCAAGGCGCACAAGGAGAAATGCTTCCGCGTCAGTCACCCCCTGGCGGGCGACGGCCCCCCTTCCGGCCCCGGCCTGGCCCCGGCCCAGCCTCCCGCGCACACGCTGCCCCTGCTCCCGGGGCTGCCCCAGACCCTGCCTCCCCCGCCCCACCTCCCGCCCCCACCTCCACTCTTCTCTACCACTGCCACTCCCGGTGGGAGGATGAGCGCCAACAACTGACTGCGGGAGCGCACACGCGGGGTCTGGAGGCCCGGGGCCGCCTCTGGGAGGGACCCCAGCCCGCCCCTCCTGCCTGGGGTTGGACAGCGACACTGGCCACCCCCATCTCCAGACGTGGCTGGACCTGTGCCGCTTGAGGCCCCTGACCATGGGGGTGTGCAGGCTGGTGGCCCCCTGTGCGGGGTAGGGGGAGCCTCACTCCCAAGTGCCCCCCCTTTCAGTGACTCCTTGAAGCCTTTGCCTTTTCTTTTCTTTCTTTCTTTCTTTTTTTTTTTTGGAAGTGAAGGAAAAAGAAAAGAGCAACCTGTTTGCAGCACGCCCTCCAGGTGAGGGGGTTGCTGGAGGCCGGCAGGTACAGCAGGGAGGGAGAGCCTGGGAGCAGGTGTGATGGGTCACTTGCCTGAGGCCTGAGCTGGAGGGTGTTGGCCAGGCAAGCCCAGGTCAGCTTCAGTGGCTCATCTCAGCTTCCCTTGTGCCCCCTAACTTGCTCCCTCATCCTGGAGGCTGTGGGGAAAAGTTGGGGTGTCAGCCTCCCTGGAAGGAGTCATGGATCCCGTCTGAGGGCTCTGGACACTGAGGCAGGGCTTGAGTGTGGATGCCCACGAGTGTGTTGTGGGGGGAGTGGCAAACTGTGAAAGCTGCAGACCCAACTTTGCACCGTGTGCAGTGGGGCAGGCAGGGGCTGGACCCCAGGAGTTTGCTCTCTCACCCACCACCCTGCCGGCAGGCACAGGGATCCCTGAGCTGTACCAGATGCCTCAAGGTCCCTGAATCCAGGAGAGGACATATCCCCAGAAGCTGCTGGGTCATGGGGGGCTGGGGGCTCGGCCCCAGGTGGGCAGATGGGCTGGCTCCCGCAGCTCCAGATACTGGGGACTGCAGTCCAAGAGTCCCTGCAACTGGGTGAACCCCAAGGGCAGGCCCTGAAAAGGAGGCCATGTTTGAAGGTTTCAAGGTGCTATCAGTGGGGCAGGGGACAGGGCAGCTGTTCATAGCGCACCCGGGTCCTCACGAGCTTCCCTGGTTGTCTCTCCCACGCCAGAGGAGATGTTTGTGTCTGTCTCCATCCCTGCTCTGAAGGCAGAGGCCTCGTCTTCTTCCTGGGCCTGGCCACAACCCACTCCAGGCCGGTGTGCGGCCTCCCTGTCCTTGCAGGGCCTCTGCACCATGTAGCCCTGGTGATGAGAGGCACCTACACATTCAGGCCCCAGGGTGGGGGGTCAGGGTTTTGGGGGAGCCCCAGCCCGTGCTCAATGCTTGCCCCCATGAGGCCAGCACTAATAGGACACCCTTTTTTGTTGTCATTTAACGTCTTCATTCTTGCCTCACAAATGGGGAGTAAGGTTCCATAAGCTACGTGTTTCCTAGTTAAGCTCTTTCCTTTTGTGTTTATACAGTTTTGTTTGTTATACTCTGCACCTTAAACCCCCACGACTACCCTCACACCACCACCTTCCCAAGCATGGCTGGAGTGGGAAGAGGCCTAAGCCCAAGGAGGACAGTGGCAGGGGGCGGGGTTAGGGGTGGGGGACTGGGCCCCATCAGCCCAAGGGCTGAGGGGGTCGGAACCCCTCTGACCTCCTTGTGAGGCCCATGGCGCTGGGTGGGGGCTGGGGACATTTTAATCATCAATAAACGAAGCACTTTATTCTGTACAGATGTGGGCAGGTCCAAGAAGCCCGAGTGATTTGAGGATTTATAATCCAAGCTACACACCCCCAGATTGTTCTCCGGATGCACAGGGGGGCAGTTCCCTGGCCTAGTTGCATTTGGGTCTGCAGCAGGAGTATTCCAAGTCAGAGCCTCCAGACGTACCCTCAGAACAGCCCTGCTGTCCTTCGGAGAGAGAAGATGGGCCCCTCACTGAGAGAGGAAGCGTGCCTCCCTGTCTGGCTCCCAGTTCTGCAGCTCCTTACCCCAAGGCTGGGAGTTCTAGACTCCCGCTGTACTATAGCTCCCTCTTCTGCACCCCTTGATCTCTGGGCTTCCATGACGTCCTCAGGGTCCCCCCCCCCACTCTCCGTTTCCTCCTTTTCCTTGCTATTTCTAACCTCTGGTCCCAGGGCCTGGCAGCTCTTCAGAACTGGCTCACATTTGCCCCAAGAGAGTTGATCAGGACCCCTATGGGTTCCCCAACACCTGTCACTGACACCAGGGTCTCCCATGGGGACTGGTGGCCTTATCACCAGCTAGCCCCACTGCAGCCTTAGTGAGGGAGCCTGGGGGGCTCTGGCCAGGCCGGGGCCCCATGAGGCCACACTTTGATAAGCAGAGGCTGGAGATGGGGCAGGGGAGGAGACCTGGTGTGGAAACCCTGTCCCATGACTTGGCTTCCCTGTTCTAATACATCTCTCCTCTGAGGGCAGGGGTTCAGGCGGCAGGCTGGGCTCTGGTCACAATGGTCATTGTAGCTGTGGGTGGGCACAGTCAAACCCTCTCCTGGGAGGCCCCTGTCCCAGCGGTGACAGGAGCCCTGGTCCCTGGTGCTAAATGCTCTCTTCCCCTTGGGCCAATGTGGGTGGGAGCTCCTTTCCAGCCAGATCACAAGGGTCTGAAGCAATAATGGAACCTCATCAGTGCCAGTGTGGGCGGGGGTTCTCGTTTTACCAGCTTTTACATTTCCTTTTTATTTTTAAAACAAATAAACGAGCACCTAGATGTGGGATTAAGGGGACCGGGGCCGCATACCCACTTCCCTGGGGTGGTGGCAGGGAAGTGGGGTCGGGACCATCACCTCCCACTGGAGATGTGCTGGGGGTGGGAAACCCCTCAGTCCAGATGGACTTTCCAGCCCATTTGGCCAGAACTCGGGTCGGAAACCTGGGTCTGCTCCCTGCTCAGCTCCCCATGGGCTCCCTGGTCTTGGGCCAGCTGGGGGTGAGCAGAGAGATGAGGTGGGGCCTCAAACTGGGGCTAGAGCACAGTCTCTGACCTTGCCATGTACGGCCACAGCACCCCTCGGCGGGGGGTCCGTGGTGGCAGAGTGGCTGTGCCAGGTATGTGGATGCTTGATGTCTGGGCCCCAAGGGCGTGGGGGGATAGCAGGAGGGTGAGGACGAGAGTGAAGGGGAATAAAGTCAGTACAACTGTCCCTTGGCCCGGCCTCTTCTTTACATATTGCCTACCCTCTCCTCTGGCTGGAAAGACCTAGAGCACCTGCAGGCTTGCCATAGGCCTGGGCTTTAGGAACACCGAGAGTCAGGAGCTGAGGCAAGAACAGAGATGTGCCCCCGAGCCGATGTTTGGTCCTAAGCTGGATGCAGAAGGGGATTCTAGGAGGAGAGAGATTCTGGGGTTGCTGATGCTGAGGTCCCTGAAGGCGGCCCCTGCAGGAGGCCAGAGCCCACAGGGAGCTCCAGGACAGCCCAGGCCACTCCTGCTCCTGAGCTCAGCAGTTGGCCGGCAAGGGCAGTTTGAAGCCCCCTGCTATCAGAGATGCTGATGTGAGCACCAGGGAGACAAAAGCTCAGATGGAAGGCAGCTAGTGGCCTCCAAGGAGGGAGCAGACGGTCCTCTCTGGGTACCTCTAAGAATTAATTCCTTATGCAGGTGATCCATGGATCCTGGCTCTGTGCCAGGTGGAACTCTAGGCCCCCAGGACTGTGTGCTGAATGAGACCCCTGGCTTTGTGACCCTTGGCACAAGATGCACGTGGTGTCTGAGCAGGAGGGGCTGGGTAGATTCCTGAGCCAGAGACAAGATGCAAGTGCCCCCCATCCCGTGAGGCTGGAGATGGGTGTGGGGGAGCTGGTCCTGTCCCAGGACAGGTTTCCTGTTCTTGTACACCACCCCTTCGAGGACAGGGGTCCAAACAGCAGGTCACAGAATCTGGGAGCCTTTCCACACAGCCCTACTTCTTTGGCCAAAAGGAATGGGCTCACTCAGTTTCAGTCACCCTGAAAACAAGGCTTGCGGGTAAGCCTGAGGGCCTGGCTGCTCCCGCCAGTCTCGGGATTCTGCTTCTGTGTTTCTGCTTTCCACCCGTCTTGCCACCATCTGCTTGCACGATGCTTCTCTGCACAGTCTCTTCCTTCAGTCCCACCGCATCCCACCCCAATCATTCTAATAACGTTCCCAACTTCCTATTCCAGTGCTGCTCAGGCACGAGTCTCACTGGGCTGAGAGGAAAAGGCCACAGGGTGGTGGTGGGCACCATGGCTGGTGTCCCTGGGACACTCGTTCTTCCCCGGTTTTGCTCTCTGGGACCAAACAGCTTGTTAACACCTCATGTCCTGGAGAACGGGCCCTGTATTTACACCTGAGTCCCCCGAAAGGCGGGGAAGGCGAGCATGTCTTCTACTTTGGGCAGGTAGTGCTCACGATCAGGAAAAGGTGGTCCAAAGTCATGGGGTGGCCACAAAGAGCCCCTCCCCCACCCTGAATCCTGGTTCTGGCTCCAGGCATTCTAAGAGAAACCCTGGCACATGTCTGCGCTCTGGACACAGGTCTGGAGTATACTGCCTCCTATAGGAAGCTCCCAGCCTGGCAAGGCCAAGTCGCTGGGCAGGTTCCATAACGGATTCTTCCCTAGGTGATGCCCCTCTTCCATAGCATCAGTGGCTCCTGGGCGAAAGGTAAGACCAGTATATGCTGTGAGCCATGTGTGGCCCAATGCCACACAGCACTGTGTTGTGTAGAATCCCTGCGAAAATACCGATTTTTTACAATTAAAATTTTTCTTAGACATAGTTGAAAAAGTCAAATATTTCTGGAAGGCCTTTTTTCTCTTAAATAGAAGTTGCAGTGGCCTGTATACCCTCTTTTCCCACTCTAAGTAGGTAACTAGTTCCAATTCAATTCGTATTTTTCGTGTCGACTTTCATGCCTATGAAATCACACCTTCACTCCTACTTCCTGATGGATTCAGTGTTAGGTATCATTTATTGATTTCTTTCTTCAACACTCCCAACACACACACACACACACACACACACACACACACACACAGCTTCTCTTCTCCTTTCTCCAAGCACATTTATATTATTATTTGGGGGTTAGATTAACATGCAGTGTAAATATTATGACTATGTAATCGCTGATCTCAATCAAGCCATGTCATAGAATATGATTCCTTTCCCCTTTCCTGTACAAATTTTCCACTTCTCTCTTCAAAATGTGGTTTCTTTGGCTTCTAGGTGCCTATCGCTTCTGTGTCCCCAAACCCGGCCATAAGGGTAACTCTCCTTCTCATAAGTGCACACACAACGGGTGTCCCATTATCTCCCTCTTGGCGGTGTCTCTCCAGA